GAAGAACATGATGACTTATATTGCACCCCCTCCATGCAAACTTTCATGATGACCTAAAGTTCCTTGACAAGTCTCACATGAATATAGTAGTTTTTATTTAGCCTCGTGCACAGTCAGCAGCAGCATTGCGGATCCTATGTAAACGGTGTCAATTTTTTCCAATAATATTCACCAAAATAGTGGAACAGTGTGAGAAGAAATTGGATGAAGTTAAGCATACAGATAAATTTTGTTTTGCAACTAGTCATTAATAGTTTAATGATGTGGTTTGGCAAAGTATTCTATACTAATTGTGAATTACAAGAATATAAAATCATATTATTTGAAGATGGAGTTTTGGATTTTATGAATAATAAAAGATGAAATGAAGAAAAAGAGAAAAAGTTGTGTTGTCTGACCTACCAAAGAGACGGAACCAAAAATGAACAATACAGGATGTCGAAATCACAAGAAACTTTATCAAAATCAACACATCTTATAACATGTTTCGTTTCCCATTCAGGTTCATACCTTCTCCCTTCGTTAAAAGTTGTTCCACCCCGTTTGTGTGGGAGATTAGACAGGACTCCCAATACCTATTTTTCAATTTTTAATGCGCAATGGACACCACAAGGACGTGATTACGTGTTTAATATAAATTTCTTTGTGTGAAGGAACAACCTATCCCTTCTCCAATTGTCACCTTGGGCCGTGTTACAATGTCTTTTGAGTTAAAATAAAAGATGGGTCTATGTTTGGTGTTGCATTTGTAGGGAGCCATGAAAATGGTCCCCCATAAACTTAGTGGTTGGCACTTTTACTTTGGTTGATGTAAACTCTAAGAGAAGATCACTTAGAACTACTCAAAACACTTTGATGAATATGGGTGGAACATGATAATATTTCAAATTCTCCTACTTTGGACCACGCCCACATGTCCTACGTATCATAACAACATTCTATTATTTTATTTTCTCCATCCATTTATTTCTAACACCATTGCCTTTTCGGGTTCCTCAACTACCAATATTCATATCCTTACTCTCTTCCAAACTTATTTTCTATACAAATAATCGTCCAAGGTTAATTATTGTTATTTCCTCTCCAAACTCCTTGTTTCGGAAAAGAAATATTTAATACCAAACTTCATTTTTTTTATTTTTAATCAACTTATCGATAATATATATCAACATTTATTATTTTTATTTATATCACATCAAAACTTTTTTTTTATAATACCAAATTAATTATTGGATTGAAATTTCTTATGAATAGATTAAATTTATAAATTTGTATGCAAATAAAAAAATATTTGACAACTTATCAGATTTTTTTTGAAAAATAATGTGTCCATCATTAAATAATAATTAATATGATTTTAGAGGACAGAAGAGGGAGGTAGAAGAAGAATAATTATGATAATCCATGAGTTATTTTTTGTGAAATTATTTTCTTTAATTCGTATATATAGTATCGCTTTGGAACAAGTGTAATATGATATTTGGGAATCATTAAAAGTCAATTCGGCAATTTAAGTTTTTGAACATATGAACTCTTAACAGAAAATTATTGTATATTTGAATAAATAAAAAACTTCTAAGTTGAATAGTATATAAAAATCCTTTCTCATTCAAAATATTCTTATATTTTTGTTGTGAAACAAAGTGAGAAATGTCACATTTTTGTCTCATAGAATTCTCAAAAATATAGGTTTAGGTTACATTAACAAAGCTGCATTATGCGACAGAATTTGTTTATTCTTTAATAAATCAATTCTCTATGTGAAGGTTTGACATGGTTGCAAAATTATTAGTTTGGTTCAGTGGGTTTATGTAGGGACTTTTTGCCTTAAGAGGATATTTTGGAGACGAATAAAGAAGACACGTGAATTACTTTATATACATGTTCATTGTTAAATGTGAAAAATACATTACCTAAAAAATTTGTATTAAGTTGGGTTGGTCCATATTCTAAAAAGATTGTATTTTTTAGGTATGATATCAACAGGTAATTTTGATAATTTTATTAAAAAATAAAAAATTATAATATATTTAAAATAAAAGATACTTTAAAAAAATTTAAATTATATTTATTTCATGTATGAATAAGAGTTTCTGATGTTATGTTTGTTCCGTTAATTTCACTTTAAAGATATTGTTTGTTTTAAAATTCAAACTTCATCCTTGCGATTCATTTTATAAAGAGACACTATTTCTTCTAAAGTTACGATATTATTTTGTCCAGTTCCTAATATTAATAAAATTAATTTTAATTTTAGATATAATTATTTAGTATATAATTATTTAAAAAAATAAATTTTTAATATAATTATTATTTATAAAAATCGATTCATAAATATATGATTTAGTCTCATTTAGATTATAAAATTGATTGAATAAAATATGACTCCATATAATTTAGAATAATTTTGTTACCTAATTTAATCTGTTTTGTAGGTTTTTTCATATATGTTTGCCAAGTGGAGTACATTTTCAAAGTCCTAGTATGAAAAAGAGTTGAAGTTTAATAATGATGCAATCATTCAATTATTCTTTTTATTCAATAATTTGTTCACAAAAAAAAATATAAAATCTAATTGATTACGTCTCATCCTAATTAGGGGAGACTTGACCTACTACAAGGTTATTGTTAATCCTCTGTAGGACTTTAATCATAGTACCTTGTAGGCTTTCCATTGAACTTTTTATAATATTATTAAGTTGCACCATCTTCTGATTAGTTTTCCTATTCAAATAACTGTGCATTGTTTTATTTTATTTCCATTATACTAAGCCACGTGAGGTCCAAGGTGTTCTACATGCAACCTTTGGCTATATATTCTTCAAATTTTTAAGAGACAAATGAGTTTTGTGGTAATTTCCGTCACAATCACCCACCCTCTTCAACGTCATGGCGAGATTGTGAATTTCTGGAATATGAAACTATATTTTATTGCTGCAACAAAGAAAAAACATTGTCATTTGTCATGTTAGTTGGAGGTGTGTATAATACACTGACATATAAGGAGGGTAAAAGAAAGGAACGCAGAAAGAATTTTCTCAACTGCAAATAGGTAATTCCTATGCAAAACTCAAGTTGAGTCCTCAATTCTGTTTTAGTAGATTTAAAAACATTCACTATTTTTTTCACTTTCACAGTTGAATACAAAGTGAATTTTTAACTTATTTTCAACAATCACTTTGTCCTTCCACTCACACCAAAATTCTCATTTTGATTTAGAAAATTATTTTCTTTATGGGTAAGCAATTTCAACTGTAGTTGCCTAATATGAAAATCTTTTAAGGAACTCTGGAGATAATTATTTGCTACAATGATATCTTCAAAGTCTTTAATGTTGAGAGCCAATACAAGTAACTTCAATAGAATTACTCTAAATATGTACGCAATTGCAAAGTTGTTTAACCATTGAAAAACAATTTTCTACTTATAAAAAGTTTTTTTAGTAAGATGCACTACAAAAAATTAACAATTCAAATTTGGTTTGATCATTAAAATTAGCTAATTCTTTTAACTTTCAATAACAATGAGAGACTTGGTTTATATATTAAACACATGTCTGGATTTCACAATATCTTCTACATTTTTCAATTATATGAATTAGACTCCCTTAATTATAAGATTCAAAATAGAATTATTTAGAATTTAAAATCAATTAAGAATAAAAAATTAGGAGTTAAAGAATATAATTAAAAAAAAAAGCGCTACAAACAAAATATAATAAGCTTATGGATGATTGTAAGAAAAATTACAAAATTCTTAATAAGATTAAAAATAAAATAAAAAATCGTAATAGAAAAATATTCTTACTTTGATGTTTATTTTTTTAATTTAATAATCATAAATATAAAAATTTAGAATTTAGAATTTATTTGTGTTTGACTTTGTTTATAATAAAAAAAGCAACTAAAAAATTAAAACTAATTAAATATTAAATTAATAGTCTTCGTTTCAAATTTCAACTCTACCAAACTAAAATTATTTTTATTTTAATTTTTCAAACCATTATATATATATATATATATATATATAACCTACTGTAAAGAAGCCGCTTACTGTTATAAAACTTCTTTAACCTTTTTAATCCTTCCTCAAATTATTGATTCAATTAAATCTTCAATTAAATCTTTATTTTTCTTCTCATGCTCTTAGATTTTTATGTCCAGTCACTTTAACATATAAAGAGACTTAGTTAACAATTCAAATTATCAACACTTGAATCGAATAAGCACTGGGTGGATATATTATAAGTAGTAAAATCTTGCTAAAGATGCTGCAGAGGCAGTATATCCAATCCAAGATTAGATAATAAAGCAACATTTACAAATTTCGGATAGCTTGTTTAGCTACAATATTGGAAGACAGTGTTATGCAGATATAGATGGAAGCATATGAAATTTGATTTAAAGTTAGATCAGGTCTTCAATAGTGCTGATAAGAAATCCGTTTCTTCTTTCTCCCGGGTTCTCCTTGATTCTTTGGTTTGTCTGGACCTTTAGTAAAGCATGAGGCTCAACATACCATAGCAATTTCTATCCTCGGCCATCAACTTAGAAAGTCAATTTAAGCAAGAATCATAATATAACATATCAGTAACAAGCTAAAGTCTTTATTCAGCGGCTTGTGTGATATCGATTATAAGTTCCCATAACCCAAATATTTTATATTCTTTTTTGGTACAAGAAAGAGTGGTGAACTTTAATGTATCATATGTATCCAAATTCCCCACCACCCCAATTCAGCATTTTTCAACTACTACTAATAACAATAATTTCTACACTAAATGAAGGTGGTAGCTAAGATAGCTAAGACTCCATAAATTTCAAGCACTTGCACACTTAAATATGTGATATTTAAGTATAAGACATATGGAAATTCAAGATCTTGTATGTTTTAACATAAAAGGATCTTGGATTTCCATACATCCTATACACGAATATTTCATATTACAGTGTTGAAGATGCTTGGAATTTTTGGTTCCTCGAGGGAGGAACGAGGTAAAATTATAAATAATGCTTAATCTTGAAGACCAGTAATTTTACCCACTTAACGTGGCTGAAGAACGGTTTATCTGTAACAGGTACGAGCTTAGTAATCCAAGCAATTGGCCATGACACAGCTGCAATCCCAACACAAATTCCCCATTGCTCCCATGTTAATCTCTCTGTATCGGCAAACTTCCTCAGGAGTTCCACCATCACAACTTGAAGAACAAGAGTAATCCCGACAATTCCAATAAACAAGGGGTTTCTGTGAAGGCCTTGGAATACATTAAGTTTCTCCATACTTCTGGAGTTGAACTCGTTGAATACTTGGCAGAGAACAAAAGTATTAAAAATTAGAGTATCCTTTACCTTCTCCGTTACATTAAAGATTGACTTTCCATTGAATTGTAAAACCAAGAGGACAGCAATCTGATATAAAGCTTGAGCTAAAAGGTTTCTCCACATAATACTAGTAATAAGAGGCTCAGTTCTACCCACAGGCTTTTTCTCCATTAACTCCTTTGTAGGCCTTTCTGTAGCCAGTGCCAATGCTCCTAGAGTATCCATAATGAGATTTACCCATAATAGTTGAACTGTTGTTAGGGGAACATTTCCCGAAGAAACTGCTGCAATAAAATTGATCACTAGAGCTGCAACATTCACGGTTAGTTGAAACTGGATGAATTTCTGGATGTTGTTGTAAACACATCGCCCCCACCTTAAAACAGTGGCAACAGTACTGAAGTTGTCATCTAAGATAACAATGTCAGAACTCTCCTTGGCAACTTCGGTTCCTTGGATCCCCATAGAAAGTCCAATGTCTGCTTCTTTTAAAGCAGGTGCATCGTTTGTGCCATCTCCTGTGACTGCAACAACATGGCCTTTCTTTTTCAAGCATTGCACCATCAAATGTTTGTCCAAAGGGGATGATCTTGCCATCACGCGAATCTTCTCAACTTTCTCCATTCTCTCTTCCTCAGAATAGTTCCTGAATTCCATACCCTCCACCACTTCTCCCGCATTCACATGGCCATCAATGTCTAATATTCCGCATTCTGTTGCTATTGCTTGTGCAGTGAATATGTTATCACCTGTGATCATCTTGATAGTAACTCCTGCAAGTTTACAAGTTTCCACAGCCCTCTTGACGTCGGGTCGGCAGGGATCCTTGAGGCCCACAATACCGAGCAAGGTCAAGCCAGCTTTTATAAGGATTTGATGTGATTTCTCCTTATCGTTATAATCAATATCTTCTGAAATCTGCACGTAAGCAAAAGCAATACATCTAAGGCTACTAGCAGCCATGCCTTGAATTATATTTTCAAATTTACTCCGTTCTTCATCAAGGGACTTCTCTATGCCGTTATTGTCAATATAATTTGAACACATTGCAAGTATAATCTCAGCAGCACCTTTCCAATGCACGTGAACTGTGTTGTTGGTCTTCTTCCTTATTGCGACACCACTTCGTTTCTTTTCCGAGTTAAATGTTTCAACATGGAGAACTTCATATGTGCGCTTCAGTTCATCCATGTCCATGCGTAAATCTGACACAGCCCACAAGAGTATAGCTTTCTCCGTTGGGCTACCAGAAATTTCAGGTTCAGATGTTGGTGAAGGTTTATAGATACTGCCAGTTGTATTGAGTCCAACTCCTTCGTGGAATAACTCAAGAACTTTAGGGGCCATTGCATTGGAAAAGTTCTCCATAACATTTTGTACGCCAAGCCAAAACTTGGTGACTCTCATTTGATTCAATGTTAAGGTACCAGTTTTATCTGTGCAAATAACTGTAGCTGATCCCATGGTTTCGCAAGCAGAAAGTTTCCTCACCATTGCTTGGTCAGCCATCATTCTTTTCATGGAGTAAGCAAGAGTGAGAGTGACAGCCAATGGCAGACCCTCTGGGATTGCCACCACCACAATAGTCACTGCGGCGGCAACAATCCTCACAACCGCATTGAAAATGTCGTTTACATCACTTTTACTCCCCTGGAACTTCGTGTTCCCTTCAACCTCTGGTGTGTTTCCAGTGAAATAACGAGTTAACAAGACTATGAGGACAAGAAAAGCGACTGTGAGGCCTACCTTTCCAATAGAAGAGGTTAACTTGTCAAGGCGAGCCTGTAATGGTGTCCTTTCCTTGGTGTCTCGCGTAATTGAGCTCATCATTTCACCCCATGCTGTGTTGGATCCCACAGATGTCACGAGCATCTGAGCATAGCCATCCACCACTTTTGCACCAGACAACAAGAAGGGACTTTTTGAAGGCTCAATTTCTACGTGGTCGCTCTCACCTGTCATACTTGATTCATCCACTAGCAAAGAATGGCCACTGATGAACAATCCATCAGCTGGAATCTGGTCACCAATCTTAAGGGATGCAACATCTCCCACAAGAACATCAAAGATGGATATCTGTTGTGGCCTTTCATTTCTCACAACTTCTACTTTGATGTTGTTGCTTATCTTAGACAATTTGTCAAACTGTTTCTCTTGTCTGAAGTTGCTGAGTGCAGTAACAACCACCACCAGAAACACTGCTAAAAATATACTCCCTCCTTCGTACCAGCCTTCCCCCGGGCCATGTTCTTTTATGCCAAAACCAAGGGAAAGAGCGGCGCAAACAAGAAGGATCAGAATAGTAGTATCATTGAGAGCTTCCACCACAAAGCTCAGGAAAACCTTAGGTGGTGGCCTCTGGTAAGTGTTTGAGCCAAACACTTCAATACGTTTGGCAATATCATCATGGCTGCCAGTGATTCCCTTCGCTGGAATGGTTCCGAGAATATATGCAACACCTTCAACGCCTCCAAACTCTGTAAAGGCTAATAAGTTTTTGTCCTTTACCATACTGGCAAGCCTGGCCTTACCAACATCACGAACCAAAGAATAATGATTGGTCCCATGTTGGGGAATCAGGGGCTCAATGATATCAAGTGTACCGCTGCAATTTGAAGATTGGGTTTGGAAGAGTTTAGAGTAAGGATGGGTGTTTGTATTTCTCTTAGATATGACTTCTCTGGCCAAGGCAAGCATGACCCGTCTAGAATAAATTGCTGTATAAGCAAAACGCCACCTTTTTTTGGCTATGTTGATGGTATAATTAACAGTGGAGGTTATGTCAATGAGAAATGAGCCGCCATCATATTTAAGATTTTGGGTACTCATGGTAGATTTTGAGAGAAAACCAGTTCTATAATTACTTACCGCAAAGAGATACTGGGAAAGAACTTCATTCTGAGTATGCAATGCTGGCTATCTCCTATATATAATAAAAAAATGGAAATATTTCGTGCGGGAGGGTTCATTGAGGCAATTTCCGCGTAGCTTCCGAACATACCTATGCGAAGTTGCAAACCAACCACTGTCTTTTTTTTTTTATAGTCCAATTTAGTCAAACTTTTGAAGGACACGCTCCTACACATTCTGCCCGCACAAGTGAAAATGAGTTATGAGAACGTAGTTTCTATTTTGATAATAAGAAATACCAATTCGCATCTAAAGGGTACTCTTTTTGGTGAATATTCATCATAAACTTGAAATATGTAAAATTCGAACCATCTAATTAATCTAATGATGGTGATTTATGATGCAACAATACGATAGAACAATTTTATGTTGTTATGCAACTGTAAAGGTGCAGGATAAGTTTCTTGATTTTTATAATAGTAAACTTAAAAATAATATAAACATTGTTTATGATTAGTTAACGGTGTGAAACTGGTGCATTTGTGTTAAACTCTTTTCGTAATGGAACGAACTCAGAAGTTTCATAAACTGCACGGCTACTATTTTGTGTGTGGCCCCCGCATTTACTAAGATGTTTCTCAAAATCTCCGGGTAGAACCATGCCGTCCAAGCCGGGCATGGATTTTGTGTACCATTTTTACATCCGTACAAGTACACAAGTCCAAAATATTTTTTTGGACGGATATCTCCAATAAAAATATAAAATATAAATCTATTATACTGCAAATGATTGAGCCACTTAATATTGATTTTATTTTAATAAAAACATTTTTTAAAACTCATTCATTTTTCTTATTTACCTTTTTATTTATTTTTATAAAGAACTTATAGGAATTTTTCCAATGACATATTATTAACAAGTCTGAGAGTGATGAAGAAGTTCAAATGAATCAAATAAAATGTATTATTAATATTTTCTCAATAAAGGGAAACTGATTAAGATTTACTAACACCCAAGGCCCAACAACCAGTAAGTACGTCACCATCAGAAATTGCGTCTAATTAAATATGCTTCTAATTTTTATTTTTTTCCAGAGATGTATGTTCTCACAGACAGAAAGTATTGTTGGGGCCTTTTTCTTTATGACTGGGGAAAGCAAGAATTACTATTGTATTCATGAAGACGTCAACAATGGACATCATCAAAATATGCGGCTTCTTTCACACTCACCCAATTCCAATTGAAATGACTCCCTCACAGTTGTGTGAAACCCAGGTGCAGGCCAGCCACATAATATTGAAAATTTAACTCCGACAACTATGACTAAAGTTTTTTTTTTTTTAAATAACCGTGTTAAATTATTTAGCATTATAAATAATTTTATTTCCTTCGATGTTTACATTATGCATTTATAATACTTTATTTTGTGAGTAAAATATATAGGAGCCAAAGCTGCTCAAAATTTTTATTTGCTCAACACAAGAAATATGATCAAATAAAACTTTCAATTAGTAAACACTTCAAAAGTAACTAGAGATAATTATCAATGATCAAACATTGTATAATGAAGTGAATTATTAGTCATTACTACAGTCTACAGTAGATCAACCCCAAGTCTATTAGAGTTAGTGTCTCTCAAAGTCACGGTGAGCCAACTGCCGTCAACCCAATCAGCTCACTTTGAGGGGTTTAATTGTCAACCTTTACTCCTTTTCTGATTGATTGAGAACAATCATCAGATGAATATGCAACTCAAGAACAGTATACCTTCCCTAGAACTCTGTCTATTTTTATTTCCAATAATAATTGTTAAATAATCCTTTCTACAATTAAAAAACGAATTACCCTTTTAAATTAATACCATCTATGTCTTGCTTAATATTCTGAAATACAAAAATGGCTAGTGGCCGTTTCAGCTACCAGTGGAATACTAACCCAGATTTGATAAATTTTGCGACTTTTATCATTATATTAACTTGAGATCCGACACTTACGAAATGATAAAAAAAATATTAATTGCTAAACCAGAACCCATATGACTGCCACCCCAACATATTATTGAAAACAAAGAACTAAAATATAAAAATTAGTATACAAATTTTAAACAGTTAGATAAAATAAATTCAACATATTAATTTTTAGAAAAATAATATATATTATTGATAACCAGTTTCATTAAAGTCATAGATAATTAATATTCATCTAAGATGTTAATATATTAATTGCATTCAAAGCTCTTAAATTAATTTTCAATGTACACCACTAATTTAAGTTTAAAAAACATTTTAACTTAGAATTTTATATTAAATAATGGCGTACTCTATTAACAGTCGCTCAACCACGTAAACACACTCACATCAGTATTTTCATCTATCTAATATTGGATTAAAAACAGATTCACCCTAATACTTAGTAAAACGCATAGGTACTAGTTAGGTAATGCATTATTAACTAATTGCAAGGACCTTCCTGTCCTACTTTCCAAAGGTGACAAATTGCACATGGCGAGTAGGTGTGAAAAAGACTTGACTAATAACTTCCACACTTTAATGCATGCCTAAAAAAACAAGAGTGCGTTTACACAAAGCAAATACTAGTGGAATGTTCACGACGCATTTATTTAACACACAATGTTATTACCTAAAACTTATTAGAGATCTTTAATAATTTGAATACTCTTTAGGGATCACAAATAAACTACTTGCGGAGCCCCGTCCCAAATTTAACCCAAAAAAATCAAATTGATTTATTTTTCCGCTTTAAAAAATTGAAATTGAAATCGAAGACAAGATAGATACTACAACCTTCGTCCCAATTTTATATTTAAATTTAAATTTTAAAATATTAATATTTTAAAAATATTTTCTTTTCTTTTTCATTATATTTCGCTATTTTACTTTTTTTTCTATCAATTTTTTAATTCTTTTATATTTTTTAATCCTTTATATTAATCAGTTTATTTGATTATTTTTTTCTCTTACCTTTCACTTTTTTTTACATGTCTTTAATCTCTCCAACTAATTTATCTTTTTCAATATTTTTTGATAAATACAAAATTAATTTTTCTTTCTCTTTATTTTTCTCTAAATATTTTAAATAAATCTTAACTATAATTAATATCATTTTATTTATAATTTATTTTTATTAAGTTTTATTATATCATTTTTTATCTTTTTATTCTTATATGTCATATATCAAATTTTATTTTAATAAAATAATTATATTTTAAAATATTAAAAAATTAATAATTTAAAATTTTATTAATTTGAACTAATTAAATAAAAATTAACTTATTAAATATTTTCTCATAAACCATATATTTCATATTTTTAAATAACAATTTTAAAAAATTTAACTTATATATATAATCAAATAATTAAATATAGTATAATAATAATACTAATATAAATATGTTACATCTATATAAAGAAAAAATGATTAAATATTTTATATTTTTTTTTAATATAAATATAATAAATTTAAATATATATTTAATTAATAATAATTACAAATTATAAAATTTAAAATTTTTATTTATGTATAAAAAATACATTAAAATATTAAAATTAATTTAGTACAAGTATAATGATTTTTTTAGAAATAATATAAATTAAAAACATACCTCAAATCTAATAAAACACAAATGAAAATTTAATTTCTAATAGGATAAAAATGAATATGGACAAGGGTCGGATTAGAGGAGAAGGACCAGAACTGTTAAAAATATCGGCGCGAATATGGGGAGAGGCAAAACCCATCCCACCCCACCCCACCCCACCCCACTATCATGCCTAATACTCATTTACAAACATCCCAAAAGTTAAAACCACCCATTCAACCTCTCTTATTCTCATTATTTTTATTATAAAACTAATTTATTATTTTTAAATTTAAATCAAAATCATGAAATAATGAGGGTTGGATTGGTGTTTGGAACTTTGAGGGTGTACACCAAATATTTTTCTAAAGAATCAGTCATTGTTGACTAATCGAAAATACCTAGTAACTCTAGGACCGAAAGTTTGACGAGTTTTCCCGTGTATAATAAATCACCCACTGCGGACGGAAACTACCAGGTAATTTCGTGGAAAATGACATTTTGACAAGCTGAAGTGAACAGATACTGGAATTCTGACAAGCAACAAAAAAATCCTTAGTTGCCCATTTATACAACTTCGCATCATCTTCCAACGTCGACCATCCAATAAATAAAGGAATCACGTCATTCTAATTAACCACCCAAGATTGCTAAATAAATATTACTCAAATCATTCCCATCATTGGGTTGCTTCTTTTGGCAAGCAACTTTTTCCATTGGTTGTTGCTATTATCAATTTCTTCTATGAACGGAAATGGCGGCCAAAAAAGTCCACAGTGAGATATCTAATGAGAATAAATGAAACAATTTATTTTCGAACATTTTCATTTTAATATTAAGTCGGTCGTGAAATTCACAATAATCTTTAGAAACGCAAAAGTAAACTAAAATTGTTTCAAGTCATATCAAACTTATATCTACAATCAAATCTTTAGAAACATCTAAACGTTATTTTAATAAAGATTGATAGTCGTCCGAAAAGGTGTTAAGAATGACATTTCAAAATGAGTGCAAGCCACAACGCTTTACATCTATACGACAATATAAGCCATCAGAAAATGCAATTATTTAGTAAGAAATAAAGTTGAAACACGCGTTCACGCTACACACATTCACGACAGCGTGCACGCCTTTTCTCATCTATGCTATAACTTCAAAAAAAATTAAGACATCGTGCTACCCATTCCCGCACAGACAGGTAGCTACCCTGTTTGGAGAAGAAAGTTGGGGAGAGAGATAATGTGGAAAAAGTTAAAACCTAAAGGGCGTAATTTGCATTCCACCCTTGATTGCGGCCAATATATAATCCTCAGGTTTCTTGATGGTTTGCACGGGTCGTAGAATCTTATAACACTTTTTTTTGCCAGGAAATAAAATGGGACAGATAGCTAAGGAACAAACTTTCGAGCATGACCTAATTTAGTCATAAATCATGGACAATTGAATAATTTTTTGCCTATTTTATGAGCTGTTGTTAGCTAACAACAGCGGGTCTACGACTCGAATTTTGAATTGAGGACTAATGGTTGCAGTGTTTTAAGTTCAATCCCTACTTTAAAATTATTACATTTCATATTACGTATGGAATACAACCATATATCACTTTCATATTCCTTGTAAGATAAAATAAAACTAAAATAATAAAATTAGTTATATTTTAAAACGGTAAAATAAAAATTTAAGGTAGAGAATACTACAAAAAATTTAATGAATGATATGAAACAAACATATAATAAGAAAATTACTTGTCTATTAATACAAATATAGATAAAATTGTACTGATATTTTTAACTTGATAAAGAAACTACAATTATTGATTATTTTTAAATGAATATCTTAAACCATGTTAGAACATAATTCAAGCAATCCTCATTATTATTATTAACAATATTATATCTTATACACAAAAATATGATTTATTAAAACAGAAATATTTATTATAGTTAAAATATTCAATAGTTTATCTTTCTTCGACATTCTGTACAAAATTACATATCAATGTCACATATAGGGTGAAAGACTTAATTTAATAATCAACGAAACTGTTCAAACTAAATGTAAAGAATAATAACTAGGGAGACTAAAATTACATTAACATTTGTGTTTGGTTATCGTATTTTGTAATTTCTAGGAAATTCAAATACCCTAGATTTGAATTCCTTTCATTTTAAGCTATTTAATTTTTTAAATGATTTATTTAAATAAGATAATTTAAATTTATTAAACTTTAATCTTCTTCTTTGGATAAAATATATCAATTATTATTAATTATAAAAATTATCATGACATTTATAAATTATGTCTAACTCTTAGTACTTGACCCTTATCCACGTAAGTTAGGTTGAATTGAGATAGATTAAATCAAGTCAAGTTAAATCAAGACAAATTATCCTGATAAGGTCAGATTTGTTCATAACAAATTATACTACATCATGAATGTTGGATCAAGTTGGTTTACATTGGTAGGTTGGATCAAGATGCATTACACCATGTCAAGTTAAGTTAAGTCAAGATAGATTAGATCGAGTCATACCTGAATAGAACATACCAAGATGAGATAGGTTGGATAGGCCACGACAAGATGTGTCAAGTTAAGAAGGATCAAACCAAAATGAATTGAACCAGACTAAATTTGGTCAACGTGAGCCAAACTTATTTTGGGTAGTTGGATCAAACCTGATCAAGAAAGATTGAATTAGATTATGACAAGTAAGGTTGGGATGGATCGAGTTGCAATGGGTAAAGTTAGAGTCAATACATGATGGACTAGATCGACCGTCAAGAGTGGTCGAGTTGAGGTTGTTCAACTATGATCAAAACATGTCAGGTTAGTTCGAACGAGATCAAGACGGGTCAAATTAAGCCATCATGCTTATTTTTCATGTTGAAACGAATTGAAATAAGTCGAAAACATCTTAATTGAGATTGATTCAAAGAGAAGAGACATATATTTGAGAGAGAGAAAAAGATGAAAAATTTTAAATTCTTACTTTTTGGGTGAAATTTGAAAAATATACTATAAATGCAACAATCAAGGCATCATCTCAACTACTACAAATCTTACTTATACTAAGTTACAAGTCTTGGTGGGAGGGAGCATTTAATGCCACAGAAAAATCAGAATGGAATAATGAATAAGCCCTCGGAGAAATTACCAACCAAAACCTATTATGAAGTCCTATTTTTTCAACATGGAAAATCTGCACCAATTTTCTAAAGGAAAACTTTTACACCATTATTTTACTGTAGATTTTATTCTCGATTCTTTATGACTAGTTTGGTGATGAAGATATTATAAGATAGAACACAAAGATAAGATATGAATATAAAAGAATAATAGCAAAATAAACATTAATTATATCCCACATTTGATATGTACCATTAAGGATCAAATAATATTAGGTTACACTGGTAATGATGATGATGATAGTAGTAATAATATCAATTGTGATAACTATGGTGGTAATGATGATAATAATAATGAAATGGTAACAAGTTAACAACAATGATTATTACAATGGTAATGATGATAATAAAAGTAGTGGTAATGATGGCAACAATAGTAATAACAAGATGGTGATAGCGATAGCAATGCTAGTGAGAGTAGCAACAATAATAACGGAAGTGGTAGTAATTGTTACGACAACAATGGTGATGATACCAAAGACGATAAAAATAATGACGCTAATGTGGTGGTAATTGTTTATTGTTAATTGCTACTATGGAAATAACATGGTGATAATAATGATAATAAAAATAATAGTGGCAACATGGTGATAATGATGATAATAAAAATAATAGTGGCAACGGTGGTGAAATTGTGGCAAAATTTTTAGCAACAATGGTGGAATTGGTGGTTGTTGCTATAGCAACCATGGTGTGGTATTGGTTGCTATATTGAAGATGACAATATCTATGGAACCAACAAAGGCAGTGAGAGTAGTGACGACCATAACAAGGATGATGATGACAAGGGTGGTGGTGGTATTTCGTATGAAAGTGAGTGGTGTGAGTGTAGAAAGAAAGTCAATTATCCTATCCAATTGCCTGCTAACCCATCTTTCCCCTCAAAATAAGAAATAAACTAGTACAAAATAGGATAAACAATAGACAAGGAAATCACATCCAACCGATACACCAGACAATTGATTAGAGCATGATAAGATAGTTATCTTATCTTATCCTATTATATCCTAACCACCATACAGACTCTTACTGTTTTTCTACACTTTATTACCTTCGATAGGAAGCAACCTGTCACTGTACCAAAAAGTATTAATGTAAATGAATGTTTAATTTAAATAATGTCAGGGACAAAAAAAAATGTGACATGATCGGATACCATACTAACCAATAACGCCCAGTACCATAGCATACTTTAAAGGGCAGAGTATTAAGGTAGAATAAGAGACATCAAGACATCACCAGCTCTGTACCCATATCAGGAAGCATCATTGGCTTATATTCAAGAATGAACCTATGACTTCTAACCCAACCCCCTTTCTCCCTTATCACTTGAGCTATTCCTGATTGGTTAAAAGGAAGCATGATTTGTTTAACTTCGTTAAAATTACCATACAGATGCAGGGAGGAGGACAAAACACGGATAGTACCGGTGTATCAATAATTAAGAAATATAAAAATATAATCTCACTTCTCATAATATGTTTGAACTCTCAAGCAATGACACCAATAAAGCTAACCAAGGAAGAATATCCACTAAACTTACAATGAAACTAAATTCCAAATTCAATCAGACCCAATTTTTAACCTTTAATCTGCCGAATCAGGTTAGACATCAAAGTGAATAAATTGCAAATATTACCATAAAATCCCCTTCAACACTAACAACCAACCAACCAGGCAACATAAGGCAAAATAAATACAAATGAGAAAAGTAAGCAGTACATAGAGGTCGGGCTTCTGTAGAGTAAGGTAAAAAGTAGGCCACGCAGAAAAAACAATGACATAGCATCATGAAAAATAATTACCTAATGAATATCATTTTCAGTTTCAATTCAACCATACTCCAGCACAACAACTAAACATTTTACCTTATGATATGTTCAAAATACATGGGACTACTGTTATTTCTTTTATGATTATGCCACTACACAAGCCTGACCCCTATGTAACTTACTAATAAACTGACAGAACATAATTAAAAAAACTAGAGTGAAGCAAAACCTGGATACTTGATTCACGAAGCTCTGAGATGACATTCTAATAACTTCTGCACCAATAAAACAAGGAATAAGTTATTGCCATGCCACTGGCTTCTTAAAATGATTTATTGAGACAATGAAAATTTAAAGTTATCCACAATAAACATTGTGTTAACTCTGTGAGGCATCAAAACACTCTAGTCTCCACCAACACAGTTGACATTTTCAAGCAGACATAACATAACAATGCCAAGACTGGTGGATAGCATCATCAGTTAATACAGTTGCTATATCATTTCTATTTTCTAGTAGCCATGCATGACCCAATCAGACATACAAAAAGTTGTCTACGACTATGAAGGACAATACCACCTGAAGCGTGACATCAATTTTATCTATAATCTATAACTATATAAAGGGTAGATGGAGTTTTGTTGTACACATTTTTGTATTTAATTTTACCCCTATAACTTATTCCACAAATCTCTATTTCATCCCCATAACTACATTCTTTACACCACTCATATTTCTAGCTGCATTCTGATTATCCACTTCTATTATTTAACTATAATTCATTTTATATTTTTTAGAAATACCAAAGAGGCACAAAGTTCTCTTTTTTTTTTTTTTCTTGTACAAATAATGATGACCCACACAAAATTTTCACACCAAAGTATAAGATTCAACAACAATTCCTGGATTCATATCCCATGATTGATTTTACAATTAAAATGTGTTCAACATCAACATAGAACACCAAGTATGGAGATCCTAGATTCTTATATTTCCAATTTTCCATGACATTGTGCATGCAAAATTCCATCGGGTATCTCACATACTGGGCTGGAAATAGCTATGCACAACACATCCACCCAGCTCAAACGACAGATTTCTTGATATATAAAGGCCAACATAAACTACTCCGGAAATACTCCAACTATAATTGTACAACAACAATAAAAGAAACCAACGAACTAAATAAATTTTTCTCTTTACTGATTTGTTTTAGAACAAACCAACAAACTTTGCATAGGAACTACTGTATTATACCTGACATACCAGCTGGCTAAGCCAGAACCCAGAAGTATAAACATATGTATTGGGGTTTCGAAATGCTACCACCGGTATCAGGGGACAAAATTAGTTTTCGGTGCCTTGTTTCCGCTCACCCAAAATGCATTGCACATAATTATCAAATGGCAGCAACTCACTAGCCCTGAAACTGGTCACTCCCAAATCACCACCACCAAGCAGACCTATTTGATTCATCAACCACAAGCTCCTCTCACTCTCAGGCATCGATGTCCAACCAATCAACTTTCCAATATCCTTGGATCTCAAAACCCCTTCCTCAACCCTAATCCTCGCATCCTTAAAGGGAACCAAACACTTGTCCCTGGCGAAGCCAACACACTTCTGCTTAGCCGCCGCTAAACAATCCGCCATCTCACGCACTTCGCACTGCTCCCGCTCCTTCAGATCGGAGAGCGTGGGACCCACCAGAGCCTTCCACCACGTAGGCTTACAGTTCCTGGAAGCGCTCACAGCGCAACCGATCCTCGCCCCCTCCTCGCACTGCTCAACGATTTTGCGCTCACAGGCGACGAACGAAGACGCCCACGCGCGCGAGTCCCTAAAGGCCAGCACGTAGTGTCCCGCCGACGGGTCGTCGGATGGACCCGCCGGTAGTGGTCCCCGGAGCAAGGGAACGGGGCGGTCGAATTCGATGACGGTTGAAGAAGGTGAGTAGTCGTCAACATTGTTGGGCGCCGAGGCATCCATTATTGCTAGTTAGGTTTTTTGAGGTTTAGGGTTTATCGACGGGAGAACTCGATAATCGTACGAGTGCTGAGCAGAGAAGCGGAATTGAGAAGTGAAAGTGAATCCAGACGACAATTCAGCGGTCGATCAAAAAGTTCTCTGCGCTGATTCTCTACTGGAACAACGCCGCCCCACAGTGCCTTCCGCCGCCACCCCCACTGCTCTCGATAACTGGTCTGATATTTCTAGATCCTCGTCACCATCGTCGCGTAATAAGGGATAAAAGAACACAACGCCATGCAAAGTGTAAAAAACGAAACATAATGCTTCCAATATTTAAAATATTTTACTGTTTTATACTTTTTGCGCTGTACTCTACAAAACGTAGAGATGTTATGTTTAACTTTGGAATTGGAAAACACTATTTTCACACCGGTATTTTATCAAGCATCCCATGTCAGCAATCTTTAACTTTCATGGGAACGTGTTTTCAGATGACATTTTGGTCTTTACAAATGTAAATTAAGAATTATACAATAATTTTACGTTTTTTATTAAGTCATATAACATATAGAGTTATTTTATTATTAAACTATCGTTTAAAGAAAAATAATATTAAATTGTATGAAGGCGTTTGGCATTAACGAAAAATAAAGGTCAAACTCGGAATATTTTTAAAAAACAAAACAAAACCAATTAAGGATAATTCAAATCAAAACACCTGATGTTCTCGATATTTATCGTCCTCTGAATCTTCCAAATACTAATGTCCCTTATGTAAAGCATCACGCATATTCCATCCCCATAAAAATTCTTATTATTACTTTTATAGCAAGGAAAAGCAATCAATAAATTAATTCTTATTATTAATCACCTATAAACATAAATCCTGCCATGTCTTTTTTTTATTATTAAAATATTTAATTAGTTAGCACGTAATTTTGTTTACATTAAAACTAATATTCAAAGCTCTCCTGAAACTAATCATTTGATAGAAATTTTGATAAAAATCACTTTAAATAAATTATCTTCATAAATTATATTTAGTAGAGTCGTTATATACGTTCTTATCTTTTTATTCAACTGAAACAGAATAAACAGTAACGAATGAAACATTCAAATTAAATAATATTTCATAAAAATTAATTTTAATAATATTATCATAATATACATAAAATCAGATTCTTATTCATAAGTAAAATATAATTAAATCTTTTAAAATATAAAATATTTTTTAATTTTGTACTTGCAAACTAAAACGTCTCGTTAATCAAACACTCCTCTGTTATAAACTTTAAAAACCAATTTTTCATTAAATTTATATAATTGTAACATTTTTTATATACGCAGTGACTAAATCAGAATAACTAAATTATCTTTAGTTTATATTTTTCTCTGATTTATTGTTAGTAGAAATGTTAAACTTTTGTTTGAAATTTTACCTTTATATATATATATATATATATATATATATATATATATATATATATATATATATATATATATATTATTTTAGTAAACAGAATCATATAATCTATGTACGCATTATTCTTTTAAATACTTATATTAAACTATAATAAATGGAAATTTATAAAACAAATATTTTTAACGATTTTATTAAAACAAAGAGTATTTTTAAAGTTTCTCTAAACTTTTGCGTCTTTAAATTCATTCTTTTCATTTTTTTTTTAAATTGAATTCGTATGTAAATAATTAAAAGTGACCTGCTGTATAAATTGAATTATATAAATATATCTTGATCATAAATTTAATTATAATGCCTTCTCTGTATAAACTAAAATAATTATTAATATTTATAAATTATTTTCCAACAAAACGTTTTTAAGAATTTTCTTAAGCAGTTGTAAAATGGGATAAATCTATTAACCACTTGTAATATAAAAAGTTATAAACATAATGTTTACAATATTAGCCATTGTAGAAATAAATAAATAAAAAGTATTTACAGATAAAATCATTTGAGCATCATAATCCTTGCAAATTCATCAAAATTAACTAGCCCATCCCCATCCAAATCTGCCTCTCTAATCATTTGCTCTGCCTCTTCATCTGTCAGCCTCTCCCCCAGATTCATCATTACCTGCCTCAGCTGTAAAACATGACAGAGTAAATAAACAAACAAATGATTGAATGAATGAGCTCGAATCAGAATCATGAACAAAAATCACTTTTCTTTACTTTGAAAAGTGCAGAAATGCTGGTTGATCTAAATAGCATGTTAATTTACCTCAGTGGCGGATATGTATCCATCTTGATCTCTATCAAACACTTTGAAGGCTTCTTTCAGCTCTTCAGATAAAGTTTCCTACATATTTATACAACGATGTTAAGATCATTACCCTCAAACACCTAACTTTAATCACTGTTTATTTAATCAATGCTTTGGTGACTAGGTTGTCTATCTTACCGTCATTTTTCGACTCATGATATTCAAGAACTCTTCAAAATCTATACTCCCATTTCCATCAAGATCCACCTCTCTAATCATGTTTTGGATTTCTTCTTTAGTTGGCTTCCCTTCTATTGATGGGGAAATGATTGCCAATTCGTCCACGGTAATGAATCCTACACACCACCAACATTTCCAGCAAGTCAAAATCCAAAATCCCTTTTCTCATCAAAATGAAAAAAAAGTGATGAATTCATCAAGTTGCAAAAAGAACACACCGTCAGAATCCTTGTCAATGAGGCAAAAGGCTTCATGAAATTCAGCAATTTGATCATCCGTCAGTGCACCTGCCATTACTTGTTATGCAGTATCAACTAACTGAAATGGAAGAAGCAAAAAAACAAATTTCTGAATGAACAATGTGCTACTCGGTTATCTTGATTGAATTTAACCTGCTTCATGTTTCTTAGGTATGTATAGATGTGGCCAGGATTTTCAAATAGTCAATGATCAAAGTCAAAATTCCAATTCAAACCAGAAGGCTACTTTTCTATAGTAGGGCATTTTTCAAGTCAGAATTTATGTTTGATCTTTATTATTTATCCAAATATTAAAATCTAATCTAAAATTATGCTTATTCAAATTACTTTAAATTTCTTTTCACATCATCTCGAATTCAAATTTATATTTTAGATTTTAAATTCAATTCAATTAATTGATTTTAAATTTGTCACGAACGGTATACTTTTCAAAAGTTTAAAACTAATGTTGACTTTGTGGATATAATTTTTTATTAAATGTTATTAAAATGTTTTTCACTCAATCTCCTAAAATATCTTTGTTTTGGACTACATTTAGAATAATATTGCTTTAAATGATATTTTGATGAGATTTTAATTGAGACATTTTCACATCCATCTTAATTGATAACAAGTCATTATATAAAAATGGACAAAAAAAAGTAATACAGTAACATACATGAAAAAAATCACATTAAGTTAAAAGTATTAAACACTGGTATCATATGTTGAACCATTATGCTATTAGTTCTATATATTCAGCCTCCCTCCCTCCCAATATGATAATTAAAATTAATTATAAATTTATCATATATGTATATAGTATTTTTTTCATAATAATTTTAGCCAAATTTAACTAATATAATTAAAATAAAAACTAAACTAAATTAAATTCACTACCATCAAATTAATTGGATATGAATTTCAACTAAAATTAAATTAAAACCTACCCGTCTTGTTCACAAAGTCAATGGAAGCGCGACTTAGCGTACAACATAAGAAAAAGTGGTGGAGCGTGGCCACGGAATCGCGCATGCTAACTTTATATTCATTAAAATCAATCGGGCTTTGTCATGGAAATTTACATGACAACTGACGAAACAACAACAATAGCTCAACAAAGACACTAAAGTTTATAGCTTCGTTCACGTGGATACTGTGTATGATTTCAACAAAATACTGTCGTTCTATGAATACGCGTGTTGAACGTTGATCCAATTTATTATCTTTGACTCTGCTCAGTAATTTCCACTATAATAATGCCCAATTTACCTAGTCATTACTTTGGTTTTTGTGGTGTAGTAGTAGAATACTTCAACCTTGCTTAGTCCCTGTTATTTGATATCAAGTCATTATTCCCAATGGTTATTTCTTTTTATAGCACGTTTAACATTTATTTCATGTTAATATTGGTTTTAATTTATATGTCAAGCTATTTCATTTTAATAAATAGTTATAAATCGTGTTTCCAATATGATTTTAATATATATATATATATATATATATATATATATTTAGTTTCTTAATCATTAACTATTCTTTTCAAGAAATTTAAATTTAATATATTTATGATTTTTTTAATGTGTGTTCTGTTAATACTTGTCAATCATTAAAATTATTTACTTTATCTTTTAAGTAAGTTATTGTTAAAATTTATTTGATAAAAGAAAAAAATATTTAATAATGATTTAATATGACCATTCTAATTTATTTGTCAAAGTGAGAAGATGGTGTAATATTTAAACATTTATTATATCAATTATAATTATTTGTATTGTGTTAATTGTAATTATAATTAACATGGTAAATTACTTGTTGTATTAAATGTAATTGGAATTGACCTAGTAATTGTGATGGTAGCAATTTTATAATATTGGATTCTAAATCCTATAACACTTCCCACCTTAGTTCTCACTACAATCAGTATAGTGTTAAAAAATCAAATTTAATTATTCTGTGTGTTTGTCTTTTGGTTCCTCTTCTTATTACCTTCTTACTTCTTTTGCATTGTGTCATTTTTTTATTTTTTTTTTAAATCTCCGTGGGCAAGTTTTAACAAATACCTTAACATTCTGAATATGTTCATTACCAATGCTTTTGGATTCTGGTGAAAATGAAATGTTGAAATATTGTAAACTCACCATTCACAATTTATAGTAATGCTTATGAAATTATGAACTAAAACAACAAATTTAAATTCAATAATTGAACATAAACAAGTAAATAATTGAAATTTAATATCAGAAACATAAATAATTTAAATAATGAAAAATTAATATGCTACTAAAAATAATTTAATAAAAAAATATAATCCACAATAATAGGAATATAAAAGATTAAGGACAAATGTAATATTGAAGTTAAATTTAAATAACAAGAACATAAAAATAAAAACAAAAGAGTATTATCTTATTAAAAGTAAATTAAATAATACAAATATAATAATAAAATAGATTATATTATATTAATTTAAGAAAACTAAAGAATAGAAACACTAAATTAAAATATTGGTAAAAATAAATTAAATAGTAATGACATAATATCAGAATAATAATATATTATGAGAATAAGTTATATAATAAAAACATAATAAATATATTATAATTAATTCATTATAAAAAAATGTTTATAAAGATGGGTATAAAAATGCTTAACTTTATTTATTTCTTTTTGATAGAAAGTTCAATAATAAAGTTTGTAAATAGATAATAAAGTTTGAGAGTTAATAATACATCCAAACTTATATTTATAGTATTATATTAATGAAGTGTATAAAAAAATAATATAAGAAAAATAAAAAATAATTTTTTTTCTTGGAGAGGAGTGCTTAAAAGAGTGGAAAAGGAAGGAGATATTTATAGAGTTTTTTTAATATTGTTCTATTAATTTAATTATTTTTACAATAAGTGATTAGACTTCTCTTCATCTTTGTTAGAAGATAACCTGTTTTTTTTTCTTTTCTAAATGTATTGTTTAATATATTTTTTTATAAAATAATTTTACCAATGATTCTACTAATACTCGTATGGGTCTCTTAGAAAGATTTAAGCTACAAGATTTCATTTAATATAATAGTCTAACATTTATTGGTTATTTTACAACAAAAAATGTGTTAATAAATTTGTTATAAATTATTGTAAGTTATATAGAATATATTTATATGTTAATTTTGTTTTTAAATTTTAAATATTATTTTATTTTAATTTATTATATTTTTTTACCACTTTTCAATTAATATATTATTATTTAAACATTAGTTAGATGGGATATTAAAGTTACGAGGTACAAAGAATTTTATAATTTGAAATTAATTATAAAAATTTAAGTGTAATATTTGATTTTAATATTTATAATTAACATATACATACAAATTATTTTAATTATTTAAATATATAAAGAATATAAATATCTTATCATGTTTTGGATCTGTAAATTTTATAATTTTAATTATATATATATATATATATATATATATATATATATTATTTTAATGTTTTTTTAATACATTTAACATTAATAGTGATAATAAAGTAGAAGAACGATGAAGGAGCAATCTGATTATAATGTTATAATAATAACAGAAATCAATATTATCATTACACAAATAATAATATATATTTTATTAAACAAATTATAAAATTTATAGATAATTTTTATTTATTTGTAATGAATGGAAAATGTTTTTACATTAATTTATTTTTAAAATAATTTAGTAATAATATAATTAAAAACAATAATAATATCCATGATAATAACATATTTTATTAAAATGTTTTTGGGGTGATAATTTTTTTAATAAAATAATAAATTATATTGAAGCCGAAGAATAATTTATTTATAAAATCAAATTTATATATATTTTATAAAAAAAATGTCAAGTTCCTTTCATATCTGATATTATCATAATAACAATAATCAATCACGTTGTTAATAATAATAATTATTATTATGTTACAGTGATATAATAATGATTAAAAAAATTATTATCAAATATAATATTAAGGTTAAAATTGAAAAGTAGAATTCATAAATTTTATTTAAAAAATATAAATATTTTTAAATTTAGTGACAAGTGAAAAAAAGAAGAAGAAGAAAAAACATCCTTAATGATCACCAATTTTATATGTCTTTGAGATTACAGATAACAATAAAAAATAAAAAATGGTTTGATTTGGTGAATAAGAAATGGTAGGGGGAGTGAGAAAACAACCCAGGTCTGGCTAATTGGGCCAGCATGAACAGTCCAGCCATGGCCCAAGAAGAATGCGCTTCCTCTGTCTGAAGATGAGGAAGAACCTTTCTTCGAAGTCTGTGAGACCGAACCGTCGCCTCCATCCATAGCCTTCATGGTGAGTTCAAATCTATCATTTCTATCTGTTCTGTCATCCCGTATTCAAGGACAATTTGAACCACTGTAAAATTGTAACCCTCAAAGTTTGTTAGCCTCTTTCACTCTTGTCATTCCAGTTATAATTCCTCCACTCTCTGATTGGATACTCTATTTCTCCTCTCTAGTTGCAAAATGACATTTCCAACTAATATTTTGATTAGTATTTTTTTTTTTCTAAACTGCACTTCACGGATCTTGAGTCTACCTTGAGTCTATTTAGATGTTGAAATGCATACTTAGGGTTTAGGGTTTTGTTACTTTGCATGTGCATAAACTAATATTTGAAAAGTTCTTAGAATAGAATGTGATGGTTCATAGGGATATGTAGTTAGGACTATAATCAACTGGTTAGTGGGACTATAGTTTTTCACTTGAAATATGTTTTCAACATAGCACCAGTGGACGATATTGGCGATTCAGTGTGTTTAAATGCACAACTTTTTCTCTATGTTTTAAGGGAATGCTGGCCTAGAATGCTCTTCATGATTGGCTCTTGGAACATTGCTACTGATTTTTGATTGTTTTCTACCTCTACTTTACATCTGAAGCATCTTCTGAGCTAGGGTGATGAGTCTGGAAAAGAATCCTCGTGTATTTCTAGATGTTTCAATTGATGGGGACCCTGTGGAAAGAATTGTTATTCAGGTAATAAGAAAATCAAGAGTTTTCTTGTTTAGTTTTCTGTTTGCAAGTACATTTGATGTTAACATCTTAGGTTGGCGTTAATAAACACTTTTGAATTGTGCAGCTTTTTGCCAGTATAGTTCCAAAGACAGCTGAGAATTTTCGGGCACTATGCACAGGTATCTTTAAATTAAAATAATTGTCTTTGTATGTTTTTTCATCATTCTCTTTTTCTTAATGGTTTGGTTGTTGCTTGGGGCACGCATTTTATACATGTATTGGGTATTGTGAGATTGTGGAGCTTCTTGTTGACCAAGAAGAATGTTTGTTCCAGCAGTAATATAGACACTAGTTTAATTGGGGGAAGGAAGTTATATGCATCCTGAACCAATTCCCCTGTGCTGCTCAACTTAAGGACAAAATTATATTTTACCTAGATCCCAGTTCCTTCCCCCACCGGCTGCCCTTGTATAATGGGGCTGGGAGAGGAGACCTGAACTTGAATATTAATGTGAATATGAAATAGATTTGTTGGCTAAATTCTTATCCCCCGATCCTAGCATAAATTTATAGTCATTTTTACTTTTGTATGAATGGTGTATACTGTGTATAAGGTATAAAGGTAAATGTCGTATTAAGAGGAAAAAACTGAAGATAGGCTTGTTTTAGTGCTTTATATGTTTCCTTTGTTCACAGTTGCACATAGATGTTGAACAACATTTTAAGCTTTATCTGTGGAAAACTTGAGGCCAAAGACCAAAGCTATCTCAAAATCTTTATTAATATCTACATAGAACTTTGTCTCGTTACTTGTTCACCAACTTGTCTAGTTGATGTGAAGTTTTATAGTCTGTATGCATGACATGAGATTCTAGTCATTTGTATTTTACCTATGGCAGTACATGTTACTTGCTGTTGATACAAATATATTCAAGCCTACTTATGCTAAATGAAGTTTATTCTATAGATAAGATAGTGCTTAGCATTTCGCTTGAAAAACTAATAGAATATTTAATTTTGATTCTAAAATGATAGTATGTTTTTCATAGTAATTGGTTCTTTAAACTTTGGACTCTACTTTTACCGTAACTTTTCTTTTGTTTGTAGGTGAGAAGGGCATTGGAGAATCAACTGCAAAACCTTTGCATTACAAGGGAACCAGTTTTCATCGTATAATTAGAGGTTTCATGGCTCAAGTAAGTTGTCCTTTCCCTTCATGTTTACTCTACTCATGATTTTCAAAAAGGTTGCCTTACCCCACAAGTGGAGAGGTTGCTTCTAGAATTTGAACTCACAATCTTCAGGTCACAAGGCTGCAGCAACCTTACTGTTACACCAAGACAAGCCCTCTTTATTCATTATTGACATGAGCTAACTGACAAATATATAGAAGCTTTTTTTATGTTGCATGTGATTACTATGTCTAAATGGAAAGTTAGCCAGTTGCACATTTCAAATAATAAATTCTGTCAGTAAAGATTTGCAGAAGTGAGGTGAGGGTACCGACAGAATGTTTTGGAGATTGCCCATGCTTTGTTCCTTATTTATGCCAAATTTGTTGTTGTTTTTAAAGTTCATTTGTTTAAAAACATGATAATTCTCCAACTTTTGTTCTTGTGTCCTGACAGGGTGGTGATTTTTCAAGGGGTAATGGTATGTTTTTGTTTCTGTTGTTTACCTAAAATGATATGTTGTTCCCTTCTGACTTCATAACTTCTACAAAGAGTTAAAAAAAAAAAACCGTTACTTTACAGGAACGGGCGGAGAAAGTATATATGGTGGAAAATTTGCAGGTAAGTTTACCTATTAAGAGTTTTTTTTTTTTCCCCCTCTACATACAAGGATAAAAGAAGCAGAAAAGGCTTACAAATACTTTGTTATCATGATTAATCATTTGACTGTACATGCAAGTACTCCTGCCCTGCAGATGAAAATTTCAAACTAACACATGATGGACCTGGCTTTCTTTCTATGGCGAATAGTGGTCCTAATACAAATGGATCTCAGTTCTTTATTACATTCAAGCGCCAACCTCATCTTGATGGGTATACAACCTTTGAATGTTTTCATTGTATTAGTTTGATGTGCATCAATCATTTTCCATACTCATTCCCAATCAGTTTTTTTTTTTTTTTTTTTTTTTCTCTTTTGTGGCTGCTGCTGTATATGCATTTCTTTTTCTTCCTGATGGCCCTTGTAGTTTTTACTTGTGTTATTTTTCAGTTTGTTTTGATTGCTGTTGCTGTCTAGAGTCTACGTTTTCATTTTCTAAAAATGTTTAAGTTAGTAACCAGTAATCTATGCTTTGTTGAAGTATTGTTGTGGTTTTTTTATTGTGGTCGTTCACATGTTAATGCAGGAAACATGTTGTTTTTGGAAAAGTTGTCAATGGAATTGATGTTCTGAAGAAAATTGAACTGGTGGGAACATCTGATGGGAAACCTACCCAGCCAGTTAAAATTATTGATTGCGGTGAAGTTTCTGAAACAAAAACGCAGCATACTGTTGAGAAGGAGAAAGGTACCTGTGGTAGGGAATAGATTAAAGAATATAGCTTATATAACTTGTTGCTTCAATCTGTTGTTAAATTCAATTGCTTGTAATACCGGAACTGTTTGATGTTTTAGGAAATAGGAGAAAATCAGGGAAACCCCTTACTTCTGATGATAGTTCCGAGTCTTCTGACAAAAATTCAAGGGTTAAAAGAAAAAAATCTTCCAAAGAAACAAGGAAGAAAAGGAGAAGATACTCTACATCTGATAGTGATAGTTATTCCCCGGATTCTGAGTCAGATTCAGCTTCGGATTCTGAGTCGGATTCATCTGATTCGAGTTCCTCTAGTTATGGGAAGCACAGGAAGAGGAGAAATAAGCGCAAGCATGGGAAGAAGAGGAGAATTGGACGAAAGCAGAGAAAGAGAAGCCGGCACAGTCGAAGTAGAAGATCAAAGCACAAGTCTAGGCGGTCTGATTATAGTTTCCTTTAAAATGTCCCCCACTTTTTTCTTTAGTAGTACTCCTCCAGTATGCTTTAAGTGAGAATTACTTAACTTTTTTCCAGCAGTTCTGAGGATTCAAGTGATAGTACTAGTGGAAGTAGTTCTGGCGATGAGAAAACTGATCGTAAAACACATGCTGACAATAAAGCACAAAGAAAGCTAGGTATGTTATTTGTTTAATTCTTAAATTATGTCCTGTGCCCTGGCTTCTCACGGTTTTCTTCAACAAATACTCTATGTTGTGTCTAAGCTAATAGCTCTGATGCTACAGAAACAGAAAAGCAATCCTCTAGCCTTCCTCAACAAGGTCAAATTATTCCAGAGCAAACAACGGATACCAAGGGTAGAAGCACTGTGGACAAGCAATCACATGAAGAAGGTGAATTGTCTCCAGAAAATGGTGCATTTGTGAATAATGGGCATGATACTCAAGCTGAATTTAGTAAACCTGCTAAGCAGCATGCTGATTCAGATGATTCAAATCACAATAGGTTTTGCCTCTTGCATTCTTAGCATCTAAATTATTATTCATCTCATGTAAATTTTGCTTTAATTTAAATGTCAACTCTATCCTGATTTTAATACATCTCCAGATGTGCTAAGTTTGTGTGACATTTTTTTAATCCAGAAGTGCGAGTCCTGGAAGAAGTCCTACCAGGGATTCTGGTGAGCTAAACAAAGGACGTGCCTTGTTGCTGGCTAGTCCTGGCCCAAAAGCATCTGAACCTGCTGCCCCTAAACATGGTCAGGGGTTTTCGAAAAGCCCTTCTCCTAATGGCATGCCTAAGCGTATTAAAAAAGGACGTGGCTTTACTGAGCGTTATGCCTTTGCCCGCAGATATCGCACTCCATCTCCAGTGCGGTCTCCTCGCACATATCGTTATGGTGATAGAAATATAAGAAGGAACTTTGATAGGTATGTAAATTGTCTACACTATTTCGTTAAACTGGATTCTGTAACAAAATGTTGGATATTCTTCTGACTTGTTATATGTTTGCTTAAAGAAACACAAGCTACAGAAGTTATTCCGAGCGCTCTCCACCACGACGTTATCGAAGCCCACCTGGGGGCAGAAATCGTCCAAGGTTCTTTCTATGTCTAGTTTGTATGAATCTGTATTGTAGTTAGACCTTGATGCTTTCCCTGCTCGCACAAGTCAAGCATTTTCTTAATTATATCTAACTACGTATTACTTTTGCTTATTATGCTTTGTCATGATAAATATTTCACATGAAATATAAATGATAAATATTTTGGTAAGGAAAAATACACAAGGAATGCATACATGAGCTTAATATATCCTTATGGTTTTAGGTACCATAGCAGGAGAAGTCGTAGTAGGAGCAATTCTCGCAGTCCAGTGCGTGGCCGTTTTAGAGACCGTGGCCGGAGTCGGAGCCCAAGACGCAGTCTTAGTCCTGAAGACAGGCGGCCTCCCATAAGTGACAGATTAAAATCCCGACTTGGTCCAAGAAGTGCTGAACGATTGGCAGACAGGAGGGGAAGGTCAAAGTCCAATTCTAGGAGCAATGACTCATCTCGCTCCAGATCCCCTGATGCTACACCACCTAAACGATATGATAAAAGGACTTCCGTATCTCGTAGCAGGTCTAGGTCCAGCTCTTCATCCGGTCAGAAGGGTTTAGTTTCTTACGGAGATGCTAGTCCTGATTCTGGGGCTAAGTAAGTATAAGCTCACTCAATACCAACTGTGAGGTCTCAGCAGCAGGAACGTCCTTAAATTACTATACGTCGATTCTATATCGAGTCCCAGGAGGAGTTATGTTGTCGGGCATTTTATGGCTCTTTATTTTTCCTATGTCAGTGAAGTTCTGATGTTGATCCTGAATTCAAGCACGCAGTATTGTGCATTAGCTTTAAGACGAGCATTTATCATGTTAGTTCAACTAAGGTTATTGGTGCCAAAAAACTTTAATGTGCCTTAAATGGATCTGGCGATCTTGTTCATACTGACTTTTTTGCTTAGGGCAATTTTTTTTCTTTGAATTTCATCCTTGTTACCCAAATTAAAGAAGGCCATTTTTCAATATGATTTTTATAACCAAGTAATACTCATAATAAAAAAGTAATATTCATATGAATTAACCGTATATATAATTAAAAATATGCCAAGTAAATAATGATATCAAAATTTATTACATGCCATGGGCGTAGTGTATAGCCTAGCTTTGTACTATTAGCATTATTGACATCGTCCAATTTTCTCGATTTGAAACCACCATTGTCTTTATTAAATTATAGTCAAAATCCCTTCTCAAACCACCGGTAACATAACATCGTAGTCGACCCCTTCAACTTTTGTCAAAAATTGCCTTCGTCAGCACCTTAATGCATAGCAGAGATATGAATCTCGGGGTTTCTTCAATAGGTTGAGACTGGGTTGGGTACTGTGTGGTTAGTGCAAGCTTAGATCAGTTAGATGGCAACTTCCATAATGATTCACACTAGATAATAGAGTGTTATTGCTGTTGATGTACGAATCGACGGTTGCGTCGTCACGGGTTTGGTCATAGACTAGTGGATAGATCTATAGACAATGGTGGTCATGGCAGGTTCTCTCAATGATGGTTTGGTAGTTCATGGAGATTTGGATGAGTGATGGAGTGAATGATGAGGGTAAAAATAATGGGTTTGGTTGGTTTTTGTTTCTCAGGAATAATTGTTGTTGTTGTGTGGTCCACTTGGAGGTGGAGTTGAAAGGACTGGTCATGGCAAAGGTCGGATCTTTTTGGTGATACTCATATGTAAATATTCTGACGCTTGAGAAAATAGCAAAATAAACAAAAGTTTAAGGGTTTGAGTGGATGAAACATACTTCTTTTGTCTAATTTTCTTCCTTTTTTTTAAGAAAAAAAAAAAAAAACACTCTAACCTCCATACTAGCATTCATCCGATGGCTACGTGTTGTATTTTAAACTGCCACATTAAACAATTATTTTTAATTATGACTGTCACTAATCCACCATTATCGAAAAAAAGTCAATAAAAAAAAAAATATTTGATGGTGTTACTTTCGCTTTTATTGACTGCATGGATGAGTCCATGATCGCGAATTTCATGATAAGCATTGGCAAAACCAAATTGGAGGCAATGTTCTATTATTGTTTTATTAGATAGTCTTCTCCTTGCACTGTAAGCAGATACCCCCACTTACTTACCCTTTTGCACACTCCATATCCCACATGTCTAATTTCCGGTACTGGATTCCTCACTGCAGTATACATTACCAATTACATCACTCTGATGCAAGCCATTGCAATCCACTATTCATCACCATGCTGTTACTACTCAATTATATTTTACTTCCTATTTTCACGTCCCCAAAGTTCTCATCTCGAGGTTCATATATTATATTCAAAGTACTATTTATTTTATAATTTTTATTTTTATTTCAATTAAAAAAGTATTTTGTTAAAACAAAAATTGTTCCATTTATATTTACTATAATAATATTGATATATTCTTATATTTGAAATATTGTCTATTTTATAATTTTAATTTATTACGATTTTATCTTTAAAAAATATAAAATGAAGGTATATATAAATTATTCTAAACTCTTAAATGATGTGAGATTAATAAAAATATAAGAAGATAGGTCATTTGTTAAGAGTTAAGATGTAAGAGTAAAATATAACTCTATTTTTTATCTTGCTTTGGAAATGAAAGTATATTGATCTCGTATTTATAATGATAACATTATATTAATTTTTATGTGTGATATATTTAATTTTAAATATAATAAAAAATGTTTTTCTAATATTAGAGAGTAGTTAGGGAAAGCACAAAAAACATTATGATAGAAATAACCCTTAGCCTACTTTTTATATATATTTGAAATGCAGAAGAAAGAAGATTGATTCATGTAAAAATGACGGAAATCCACTTGCAAATGATTGGTTGAAAGTGCGGTGGTGCACTTGGTTGTCTTCTTAATGAGGGAAACTATGGCTGATGAGTCTCAGCTTTGGCAGCACACAATGTCAATGTGGGAGACACTCTTGTTCCATCCATGCTCACCTGAAACCCTACAACAAATCTTCAGTCAAACCACTACTTCCTAAAAATGGAAACTATTTCATATTCCTTTCATCATTTCTGAAATATAGAAAATTCATGAGGTCACACACACATATTCCTAATCCAATCCTCATCAATTAGTCATTACATACTAAAAAAATTTCTAAGGATCACTATCAGGTTGAATAAATTGCTGATGCTGCTAGCAAGTCGTTAATTTGTCTTCAGTTTTCCAAAGTTAGTCCAAATCCAATCTTCTGTTTGGAAGAAGCCAGAGTTGTCACATTAGGTATATTTGTCAATAATCATTCATTTTAATTGAAATCAAAATTTGGCAGTGCACACCAATATATACTAGTTTTCCACAGAAAATTGCTCATAAATAAGAACTTGATTTTCTGCATTATTAGGGTGAAAGTTTACCCTATGAGTTAGAAATCATTATAGCCATGACTTTTTATATTAATTACTAGTAGTCAAATATCACCAGAGATGAAAAAAGGAGCATGTTTATGTAAATTATAGTGGATGTATACAGAATAAAGAGTTCTCATTTAAAATATTATATATATCCTTCATCTATCTTCCATACCCTCTGCATTAACTAAGACAGTTCGTTCCATGATTTTTATAAGCCTTACCTGCATGACATATGAAAATACAATGTTATTAGTTAAATTCCACTTTTTGCAATGTAGTTTTGACTTTTGCCAGTTCTGAAATTTTTTATTTCATCGTGACACTTGGTAGACCAAAATGAATGTGATCAATCTTGCAATGAAATAATTACATAGTTTATAGCATGGTTGCTTCAGTGCTGGATCATCAGTTGATGCTGGAGGGTCCTGTCCAAATATCATCTCACAACTCATGTCATCAAAATCTGCAAATCAGAGATAAACAAAAGAATCACATTGTACTCATCCATTATTGTTAGGAGATGTTAGTGGGATTTATTTAATCATTCAAATACAGGAATTTGCCTTGCCCAATACGAGGTCCTGTACATTTCACCAACTAATACACATAAACAGAAATGGCTATCATTAATTTAATGTTGACTAGGCCATCATGATATATATACAATTTCAATGCTTTTGGTTAACAGATGGTGGGTTCTTGAGAATCAAAATGTTATTATTCATCAAAAATACCACCTTCAATCAACACTATAGTCATGACTTACAGTTATATTATATATAGTTTTAGATTTTATGAAAAACATGTCTTATACATATGCAGTAACAGTGTGCAACAGTTTTACACAACATACTATGATAAATTTATTGATTTTTATAATAATTATTCTAAAAGTTATGTCAAGAATTTCTTGTTGATTCATGTAAAAGTTTTTATAATAATAGTGTATAACAATTAAAATCATCCATATTTAATTTGTGTTTTGGTTTTCTTGGTTTTATTTGCAATTTTACCTGAGTGGTATGTGCATGGGTCCTCCATTGAAATGATGAAACTGAACCCTACACTAGTGGAGGCTTGTAGAGGCCATGATACTTCTCCAAGTATGAAATTTATTTATTTCTTTTGTTCGTAACTTTTTGGTGAGCTTACCAAAAAGATACAATCTTAGACATATTTTCCTCCAGCATTGGCCTGCTCCATTTAGTTTTTTCCCTTTTTTTTTCTTTTTTATTGTAAAAATAAGACATTTTGCTAACATCAGAAACTCACACACATAGTTAATGTCATATACAAATGTGATAAAGCATTTTAAAAATATATATATTAAATGACATGAGGTAGGTGATGTGAGACTTTCAACACACCCCTCCAAGACCAGGCAAAGGGTTCTTTTAACCCAACTACAGGGTAACTTTTGGCCCATGACAATAACTGGTAAGATGTTTGACTAAAATACCATGTTAAGGTTCCAACATAAAATCAATTGGCAATATGTGGAGTAGCCTAACATGTATTTAAACCATATCAAATGACATGAGGTAGACGATTAAGACTTTTTACTCGATTGTGTAAAAATTTACTAGAAGTAAAGTGCAGTGACTCCTAATCATATAATGTTTTTTTTTTTTTAAAAAAAGAATTTTTACAATAGGTCAAATAAAATTAAATAGTAGGTTGAAGGTGGAAGAATTATTGAAATATGCAAGAATATGGTTGATGAGGTACTTACTGGGGACCATGTTGACTGACATTCCCAGAGAGTCCTTTATAAACTTTTGAGATGGCATTTTGCAGAGATTTATACACATCCCTACACAGTTTGTGTCTTCTAAAAACCTGCACAAATTGTTATTAACATCAATTTGAAAGAGGAAGAAGCAAAGAAAAGGAAAATGTTAAGAGGTTGCTTCTCTGAAACAATAAAAATGATAGATATATGATGAGATATTAACTAACAAATGTTCAACAAATACTAGTTTGAGTTTAATTGGAATGCACAATATTTGAAAGGTTATATAGTTCTACCTCTGATCCTGTGAGAAATAAATGACTAATTCATAACACTAGGAAAACAATTCAACCAAAAATACAATGGATGTGTGAATAAGATTAATATTTCTAGAAAAATCTAATTTGATTCTTGAATTAGTAGTATTCTTCTCCATATAAATAATGATGATTTTGGCATTGAAAAAAAAAAAATTGATTGTGATGGTGATAATGATGAGAATGGAGAATAGAATGTTGGGGAAGCTGGATCATAATTAGTATATTGTGCGTCGCCAAAATGTGCCCAAGGTGGGTGAATTGGTGACCATTTTATGTTAAAGATGACCTTCATACGAAATAAATAAATAAATAAATAAATAATATATATATATATATATAAGCATTTATATTAATAAATAAATAAAGCTAACCTGCATTTTGGAACGTAGACTACGTTTTTTTCCCTTCTTCCGTTGACCTCTGATTCTCTGACCTACATGGATCTTTAACTCTTTAAAATCATTTTTAAATCGTAGTCGGAAAGTAAAAGGTGAGGGAGGTTATTATTTATTTATTATTCTTCTTCTTCTTTTTTTATTCCAATTCTATATTAGAGTCAAACCAGATATTGTATATAAAAAACATTTTTCTCTCAAATTTCTCGTAACATTTTTCTCTCAAATTTCTCGTTCATTTATTATGATGTTTGATTATTATATATAATTATGCTCTTTTTAAAAATCATGGGTTTTCTATTTTCTATTTTTTAAAATTTAAAAATATTTTATTTAAAAAAAGAATATTTTGATCTCTTATCTATTATAATAATATAATATTATTAAAGTTAAGTGTATCAAAGAAAACAAAATTTGATTTTTGATTACATACTACAAAATAAATATTCAAAGTAATGTGAATATTTTAAATAAAAAAATTATAATCTCATTAACATAATAATTTAAGTCTAAAAAATGTAAAATAAATGTAAAATATGAAATAATCCATACACCGTATTCAGTCAGCTCTAGACTTTTGTACTATATATATATATATATATATATATATATATATATATATATATATATATATATATATATATATTTACATGTGAACCCTTTTCACTTTAATATTTATATTCCATTGTATTAGTTAGTAGCCCTAACAAGGGAGTGATAATAAAATAAAAATATCTCTAGCAAACCACTTCAAATTTTAGGGTTGACGTATATCATGCATTAAATACTAACACTATAGGGAGCAATAAACAATTAGAATTATGAGATATTTCATTCTCACAATTCAACATTTTTTTTCCTTTTTTTTAATGCATTTATTCATGCAATTAAAAAAGAAAAAAAAAAGTTATTCTTCAATTACCCCAAGTATCACCCTTTTATCTCTGTCCCTTTCATCCTTTATCTAAACTAAATTCCAATAAGAAATGCTATTTAAAAATAATTTTATATCAAAATTTAAATCGTTAAATATAAATCTAAAATATGATTTATATATTTGAGATCATTTTAATTACAATATAAATAATTTATTCAAAAATATTTATTTAGCGTGAATTATATTAATATAAAATTTCTTATATTATATCTATATACTAAAATAATATAAATAAGTAGACTACTTCACCCTAGTTACCCATAGTTCATCACGTGGGTAGATAAATAAACTCATAGGGTGAAAACACTCACTATGCTTACGTGGCTTTGGATTAATTCATATGTCTTATATTTTGAAATTAGTTTAATTATATTTTTAATCATTGAAATTTAGGATAGGCATGATTTTGATTTCCTAATTTAAAAAAAAAAAATCTTGTATATCTTTAAAATCGAACAAAAGAAATTCTAAACACTCAAGGTACTAAAATATGTTAAAGATGTAAATAATTATTTTTGTCAGAAAAACAAACTAAATTTAAAAAATAAAATTAGAAGACCAAAATATAATTTACCTCAAATTTCAATCATTAAAAACATAACTAAACCTTTAATATTTAACTTGAGGTCAAGCTATTTTTTTCTAGTTAAGATCATGCTGAGAGTACTCTAACTAATGTTGAACATAAGATATTGTAAGTTGTATGGGCTATGTTGGACATGTTAAATTAAAAATACCTTAATTAAGTTTTGTTAAAATATTCTATTTAAGATCAACTTGAAAAATACTCAAGTCATATCATGGTTAAGATATTTTAACCGAGCCAAACGTGAAAATATTTTAATTCCGACAAAACCAAAGTTATTCTTATTAGAATTGAATTAAATATATTATGATTGAGATCAAATTGACATTACTTTATGTAAGATATAAGGGAAAATATTATAGTTGAAATTGAATTGAAATTATTTTAACTATGGTAATGTTAAAAATATTTTAGTTGAGGTTGACTTTAAGGTTCTAAAAAAAATAGCTAAAATTATTAAGATCTTACGTTAATTTTTTGGATATTGACTTGAAAATACTTATATTGAACTTGGGTTAAAGATATTAAAGCTGAGACCAAATTAAATTTGCATTACTTTGATCAAAATGGAGTTCCGAATCATTCTCTAATGTTAAGATGAAGGTATTTTGAGTTAAAATTATTATGAAAAATGCTAAATGTTAAATTAAAAAAAAACTCTAATTGAGATCAAACTTAATTGTTTTTACCGCTAAAATCGAATTAAAATATTCTAATTAAATTTTAGTTAAAAGTATATTTCTAGACTGAGTAGAAAACATTTTTAAAATAGTTATAAAGTGTGTCTAATTCTCCTTAAATTTTAAGCCAATCTCCCATTTAATGTGTTAGGAGCTTTTAAACTCCCCTCATTAGAAGGAAAAGAAATTAAATTGATTGTAGCAAGTTGTCCGAATTAGACTTGTTTAAGAGGAAACATGCGACATCTAATTAATGAAACTGAAATAGGACACGATGTGCAAATGACATTATAGTTAATTAGTGGGAAAAAATTAGTGTTTCAAACCAGGGAATAATTTTCAAACGAGGAATCATATTTCATATTCATAAATAATAACGAGTAGATAAAAGGAAAATAAGATAAATAATATGATGAAATAAACATAAAATGCTTTCTCTTTCAAATCACTTTTATGTTATGGGTTAAGAGTTTTTTTTCTGGTCATATTTTCCGACTTGACATTTGAAAAAAAATAATATGTCAATTGTTTGTTTGTTGGTTAGGAAAAAAATAAAAACTACAGTTTGAATTATTTACCTCGGAAGGCCCGACTAACCAGGCAAAGAACAAAGTCGTGAAAACTGCAAAATATTCCCTGGAGAATTTACATGGTGGTAGCACTGTCTTTATCTGCCATGGCTCACATACAACAAACAACATATTCATTGTTGAAAATTACAATGATCAAGAACTAAAGAAAATTAAAAAATTAAAAGGAAAAGTAGAGCAGAATTCTTAAAATATAAGAAGGAAAACATGAAAGCAAACTCAAGAATTCTTAACATTATCTATGTTACCTTTCTCCAAATTTCCATAGTCCAAATTCATGGGGAAAATTTTGATTATATCTTAATTTTTACCTTTATTATCAGATTCCATCCCTAAACATATTGATAGTGATTTAGTTTCATAATTTGAACAGAACACATAACTGAATCATATTTGGTGATTCAAAGATAAAGGTCAAGTTAAAATATAACAACTTTTTTCTCCATTACAAAAAGAATGCAACAGAGTTGTGGTCACAGACACAAGACAAGACAGAAAGCACAAGAAGATCAAATGATTCAAATCAAAATTCCAATACCATGACTAAAGAGTAACTAACGAACTCACGAATGAAAGTATTAGCTTAGGAAAGGCTCTCTCAAGAGCTTGGATGATAACCCCTTGCTGCTGAATTGGGTCAAATTTGTGTTTAGCCACAGTAGCTGCCTCCACCAAGCTTTCATACCCTCTCTTGTTGTTACTAAGTCCTGCAACGGAATAAAAAACTGTAGCGAATTCTCATCTTCAAATAAACTACAACACAGTGACAAAAGGGTATGCACCTGTGGCTTCCTGAACGCTTTTTGAAAGATGGCGTATTGCTAAACGATCAAACAAGTTATCCTTGTAGGCATTAGTTTTTCTTGTTTCTCCTGTAATGCTGTCTGAAGGTCTTCTGAGAACTGCAACCACATAAGGGTGTTCTAGTTTCCGTTTGATAGGGTTGCAATGAGTTGAACATAGTGCTGAACTCTTGTTCAGGATAAAACAATTTGCAACCATTTGTGAACGTTGAGTTTGAAGTGAGAGAAAAACAGGGAATGATGATTGTTGCTTAAGAATGTTAACAGAGGAAGAAGTGACAGAGGCACATATAAGAACAAAGAGTGTGTGAATAGCATTTTCACAAACAGTTCGTGCTATAGATTCCGGTCTTAGCAGTTGCTTAGGATATTAGATGCTTTCTTGTGTCGGTTTCTGGTTTTATACACATCACACACAACACATCTTATATTAATTTTCTTATGACACGAGTCAAACTTATCCAATGTTTATATAAAAAAAAGCTATTGTACAGATATTATATACATTTTGGAACATCAATTCAATTTTATCATAATTTTGTTCTCAAAAGTGGACGTATCAGTAGGTTAAAGAAAGCAAGTAAATTATTCTTAATCTCACTCTGAATACGTAGAACTTTTTGAAAATACCAAAAAAGAACTATATTATTTAAAATAGATATTGGACCATACAAAATTACAAACAAACATTTAGACTCTACCATGCACCACCTTTTCATTTTCTTGTTGAAAAATGAACATGTACGAATAATGTATCTAGAAAGTACACATTAGCATAGCATTATTACACAACCTGAGTACCTACCTCCCAAATGGAAAATCCGTGCAAGGGATGCATCAGAAAAATGTGGATGGTTTGTAAGGATTCAAATGGTCTAAGGTTTTCATCCTTCTATGGTTCAAAGTTCAATTGATACAGAATTAATTCAGAGAAAAGAAGATGCTCACAGATCCTAAAAGCTTGAGAAATATAGACACCATTGAGCCAGAGCATAGGCATATATTGCTCCCTAAAATGATCCAATATTTTAAATTTAGTCTACAAAACTAAAATTTAAGACAGTCTTCAAAATTTAAGACTAACAGTATGTTAGTGTGGGTATAGAGAGGCTTAAAATGCTCAGAAACTCAAAAAAACTGAAAATTGTAAAGGACAGACTTAGTTTTTTATTTTTAGATATTTTCCTTTTGATGTTATTCAGTTTTATTTCAAATTCCGCAAAACTAGATGAGGACTCTTGCACTATTGCTATCCATAGCAATTTAGGTTATAATATTGTACTCTTCATTGACTATCATCATCAATAAAAGATATCTCAAGTCTTTATTTTATTCTCTCTAGTTCTCAAACTTGAATTTTAAGCATTTTCCAATAGCATCACTTTTAGCACTCCAAAAAATGCATGAGACATAAAAATGATTTTGTTTTCACAAAGACATATATATCCTACAATTATATATCTCTTGTGAGATAGAGAAGAAACAATGGGCATGGCATGGCACGGCCCATGTTACCGAACCATCAAACCATCAATGTTCCATTCACCCATCAAATGTAAGACAGGGATATATGCATATGACTTGTATCCTTCAATCTATTGGAGTTCCTGAGACGGGTGTGTTCTGGAAAGTAAACTCATTCCACTTTCCAGATGAACCAAACTGTAAGTCCTAAAGTAGTGTGACAGTCCTTAGGCACATGTTGATCTCTTCTCCTTGGAATAATGTTCTTCACAACACAAACCACTGATGTAAATCTGTATTAAAGAAACCATTGGTTTGGTTTGGCTTCAAGAGGAGTCTCCAAACTGTCTTGGTACATTCAGTCTCTAAGAAGGTGTACATCCATCTCTCAGAATCCACGGCACATCCCGCACGTATCTGTACCAGAGATACCAGTCCGGTGTCTTCTAGCATTCGTCTTAAGACATCCATTCAGAACCATCCACAAGAAGTATCTAACTTTATCAGGTCCCTGCCATGACCATGACCCAATAAGCGTTGATTTAGTCGAAAAAATCCCAAATGGATTGGTCCTTTAAGCTGGGGTCACGGGGGGAATGGTGGCAGCAATTTCGAGCAAAGTTTGTGGGGGGTATGAGATGTTTAAACAAGCCAAACTTCGAAGAACCAAGCCGGCAAACGTTAGAGGCCACATTCAAATTCAATAGTTGGTGGGAGATGTTAGCCAGTTTTCCCTTTCTAGAATCTCACTATAGAGTAGCCTGGCAGCGAGGCGGAGCGGTGGCAGGTTCGGCCTCTCCTATCAACTTCCCTGACTTTTTTAACAATCTCCATTCCTGTTCGGGTTCTCGGTTTCAGGTTACTCACTCCGGCCCCTATATCCGAATTATATTATTTTAAAAGATGTCTTCGAAATATATTATTTTAAAAAATAATTATATTTATAATAAATTAATTTTACTATCTATTTTTTATATATAAATAAATATTTATAATTTATAATTATTATTAATTAAATATATATTTTAATTTATTATATTTATATTAATATATATATATATATATATATAAATATTTAATTATTTTTTATTTATAATATTATTATTATTATAATATTATATTCAAATGTTTAATATCTATAATATTATTATATTATAATAATATTATATTCAAATATTTAATTACATATAAGTTAATTCATTTTTAAATTGTCATTTCAAAATATAAAATATATAATTTATAAAGAAATATTTAATAAGTTAATTCTTATTCAATTAGTTCAAAATAATAAAAGTTTAAATTATCAATTCTTTTAATCCTTTAAAATACAATTATTTTATTAAGATAAAATTTGATATATGATAAATAAGAATAATAAAATATGGTATAATAAAACTTAATAAATATAAATTATAAATAAAATAATACTAGTTATTACTAAGATTTATGTAAAATATTTAGAAAAAGATAATGAATAAAAAAACTAACTTTGTGTTCATCAAATTGGTTAAAAAGATTGAAAAAAACAGATTGATGAGAGAGATTAAGGAAATGTGAAAAAGCTGAAAGGTAAGAGAGAATAATGTAATAAATTAATTGATATAAAAAATTAAAAAAGACAAATAAATTAAAAAGTGGGTAGAAGAAAAAAAATTTGGTGAAATATAAAAAAATGACCTTATATGTAATAGAAAAAGAAAAGGAAATATTTTAAAATTTAAATTTAAATATAAAGTCGGAGCGGGACGAGGTGAATATTGTATTACCCATCCTCGCAGATAATACCAATAATACAGCGTCACTTTCAACCTATAAAATTGGGTTATCAATATTTTTTTTTCTAGAATTTTTTATTCTTATTCAATATAGGACGTAGACTCGTATTTAGATTTTTCAATAATCTTCCTCCTAAATATAAGTCTTTTTACATTAATACATCATCTCGAACTCACTAGTAACTCTTTTATGTATTGTTTCATTATATCATAACATAACACACTTATTTGATTCATTATCAAAATAACTTTCGCTATAAATGACGATAGATGATAGAGTTACTAGTAAGTTCGAGGGGATTTACCAATATGATGAGATTCACTTAACGAGAAAATTGTTGAAAATTCTAAGAATTAGAAAGTTAAACAATATATTATAAAGAAAAACTCATAACTAATTTTCTTAAGGTTTTAAGTGGAAGGTAATCACAATCCTTATATAGATTGGATTCATTTTTCATTGGTGGTGTATCTCCCTATTGAATCCCTTTAAAAGACTCGGCAAACTTTAATTACATTTGTGAACCTTTTCCGAAATCAAACATATGTTCCTTTAGTCCAGAGATGCATATGTGTTTTGAGTTAAAATTGTTAATTTTTTATATGGGTTGAACTTATGTCTTATTGATCTTCTCCCCAATGAATCCCCTTAAAATACCCAATAAGTTCCAATTACATTTTGGTATCTTTTTCCCATATCGAACATTGCTCCTCCCGTCTAGAAACACATTCCTGGATTTATGGGCTTCGGGGTAGGGATGACAAAATGGGTAAGTTCGTCCAGCCTTTTATCAGCCAAAAACAAGGCAGGGCGGGACAGACTAGCCCGTTATAATCATGACGGACTACAAGTCTCAGACCGTTTCATTAAAGGGTGAGTTGCCCTATATATATATATATATATAAATAAATAATATAAATTGATATATTATTTTAAGTAAGAAAAGTGTTTGTGTTTGAGACGAGAAAATGTTTCTCATAATGTGAATTTAAGTAAATTATAAAACTTTATGAATTTTTTTCTATAAGACACTAAGATTTTTTAAATTATCTTTTCATAAATCTTTATATTATATATTACTTTTTTTACTCTTTGTGTTATATCAAAATAATAAAAAAATTATTAGTGAAGTGAATCACAAAATATCCCGCTCCATCCGCAGGTTCGCTAACTCGTCCTGATAGTCATCCCAAAAAATCCCCATTTATATTTAGTTTGGAGCACCATGTCAGAAAGCACATCAGGGTTATCAATTAAGTCCAGCCCAATTTCATGGTTAGAGCTTTATTAATATCACGTAGCTTCAAAAATTTTGGGCAGACTAAAATCTTTCCCATGGGTATGCCAACCTCTGTTTTGATATGCAGTTTTCACAATGTTACGTATGACTCCAGCGACTTCCATATCCGTTTATAGAGGAGCATGATCTGCATGCAGAAAGTTGGAAGCGCTTGAAGAACCATTTTGACCAAGGTTGTTTTCTTGCAGTTTGGTGCAAAATTCAAGCATTTGGTAATGTAAAGTCTCTTAAATTCAAAAGAACCCATCGATCTTTTTCTACACGTGTTCAGCCAAAATTAGTGACGAAACCACACAAGCCCATACTTAGTTACCAAAACATGGCACTGGCACTGAAAATTCTTGTAACTAACCAAACACGTTGGTCATTGGGCACGACTCGGTGCGGAGAAAGTTTCACTTTGATATCCCCAGTCCAATAAATCGCAAATAACTATGATTAATCATATCGCAAAGGTTAATTAAAATCAATCAAGCGCAATTATCAGTGAGTTGAATTGGTAAGAAAAATAAATCGCAAAGATAAAACAAATAACTCTTAAAATCCAACAGCATTACAATTCCAGGAGTAGCACATCGAGCAAATTAAAAGCAGATAGAATGACCATTTACACACTATCACTAACATCTTGTTTTCAAGAAACAGTAAAGAAGGTCTACTACCTAACTAACACACAACCAGATGGTAAATAAAGAGACATAAAAGGAGAAGTAAAAAGGCGATTTTGTTTCATTCTTTGGCAGCTTTGTTGATCAAGGACTTGTGGATGTGAGGGATGACACCACCACCAGCAATGGTCCCTTTGATGAGGGTGTCAAGCTCTTCATCACCCCTGATAGCGAGTTGTAAGTGCCTGGGTGTGATCCTCTTCACCTTCAGATCCTTGCTTGCATTTCCAGCCAATTCCAGAACCTCAGCAGTCAGATATTCCAGAATTGATGCCAAGTACACAGCAGCAGTTGCCCCCACACGTCCATTGGCTTGCACCCTTTGCTTCAACTGTCTGTGGATCCTACCCACTGGAAACTACAGCAACAAAACAAAACCAACTTAATCCGGTCAATGCATCAAACCGTTCCAACAAAACCCAATACAGTTGACCTACTGGTGAGATTTAAGTAATTTATTACAGATCTTGAGTTAAAACTTAATTGTGACCATTTTACGCCAGAGAATTCAAACAATCCATACACATCTTGATTGTCCTTAAACACTTTAATTTTGAATACAGAAAAAAAAAAATCAATCTTTCTTTAGATCCTGATGTAATTGTAGTCGAGTTAGGGATTTGAAGAGAGAAATGTCTGAGATTTGTCAGTTATACTAATATGCCTTTGTAAAAAGAAAAACATAAACAAAACAAAAAACCTTCTTCGATCTTGTAATTTCCCTCGCGAAATTGGCAAAACAAAACACATAAGTATCCCTCTGAAAAAGGAACTTATTTGTCATATGGTTCTAACAATTACTATAACCAATGGAAAATTCAAAATGAAAACAGCAAAAGGATCTTGCTTTATGGTTAAGATTAGAACCCCACGTTGACAAACAAATCGTCTGCAACAGTTACAAGAACACAAACCGGATCCAACATATACCCAACATGCGGGCCATAAAACCTGGACAAAATTCGGTTCAATTCATGATGTTTTCAGTTGAAAACTACGGAAATTCACTGCCAAGAAAAAAATCTGAGCAGAAGAGGGAAACGAGTTACCTGGATCCCAGCACGGGACGAACGAGAGACAGGCCTTTTCTTATCCTTGTCTTTGTCCTTGTTTGCTGCGGTGGTTTTCCCAGCCACGAGCCCCTTCCCTCCTTTTCCCGCCATCGACACAGAGAGGAAAAAATAAACCTAGAAAGCTAAAGCTAACAAGGATGCTGGAATAGTGGCTGTAGTTGAATGAGAATGATATCTTAATAAAAGCTTTAAATTCTCATTTCTCAAACAATGCGCGGGCGCGGTCAATCTTGCGTGGGAATTTGAGTTTCAAATTATTTCACTTTTTTTCCCGGGGTCCACCAAATATTTTGATTCAAGTTGGCCCATTAAGGCCCATCAACCACAGGCCCAGACATAGGATAAGATTCCAATGGCAATACATCAACTACAGATTTGTGCATCGGAAAAAAAATAACCATGGCAGCGAATGGCGGTGGCAGCTTCTTAACTTTGTCGTGTGCGGGTGCTATCCAAAGTCAACATGTATCACATCCTACAACTTTTTTTGGAGCTCCCCACAACCAGCAGCATAGGAAGAGGAAAACACCGCATAGATTAGTTGTCGTGGCCGTGACCCAAGGCTCTACCGAATCAAGCAAGTCGGAAGATAAAATCCCTTCATGGGCCAAACCGGACTCCGATGAACCACCTCCATGGGCTCGGGATGAGCCCAACAACAACACTTCGCAAAAAGGATTTGAAATCCCATTTTACGCTTATCTTCTTGCATCTGCCATCACTGCAATTGCTGCTGTAACTAACCCACATCTTGTTATTACTATTTTTTTTTTCTTCTTCTTACTTGTTTGTTAATAATTTACCTTTTGCAACCACAGATAGGTTCCATTTTCGAATATGTGAATCAAAGACCGGTCTTCGGAGTATTAACCTCTGACAGCGTGTTTTATGCTCCCTTGCTTGGTTTTTTTGTCTTCACTGGTGTTCCCTCTTCGGTAAGAATTACTATCCTCCATGTTTAGATTGACAATTTCAAATTAAAATTAAACCAACTAAGCATTTTCAAATTATTTGTGACCGTAACTTGTTGGTTCATGCCAATTGATGAACTCTTTAGTGTTTCAGGCTTTCCTTTGGTTTAAATCTGTTCAAGCTGCTAACAAGGAAGCGGAGGAACAGGACAAGAGGGATGGGTATTTATAAGTTGAACACAATTTCTTTGTTCTGTAAGTTATGCGAGAAAATTGCACATGAATGAGAGTATATTTAATGTGAATATTGGTGTTGTGTATGAATGTGCACTTTCTGTCAAAAGTGAGAATGGTTTGTGATGACATCAAGTAAATCATCTGAAAATGCTTAACTCCCCCTTTGGCATGACAATACTTTCATATCTGCTTATGAATGTAGATAAATATGCCTGTAAATATTAACATCAAACCAATGTTTGAAACCAATAGTGAAAGAGTAGAGAACGAAAAAAAAAAGAAATACTTGTGTTTTTCCTTCAGCTTCTCAAAACTGGTATAGCGCCAATTAGTGGATTATGATATCGTGTATGCACTTTTTTTTTTTTTAGAGGTAATTGAAATATGTTAAGAGTATAAGAAGTATTTTAATCCTATAGAAGTAACGTTGGCAAAATGGATCGTTTTAGTTTAGCCCGTCCTGGCCTCTAATACTTTAACCAGCCTCAAACCGTTTTTTATATAAATATATATATATATATATATATATATATATATGAAAAATATAATTTTTAATATATAAATATTGTTAAAAATTCATCAATCTATTTCGTCTCACTGAGCAAATTAAAATTATAAACTCATTCTATCAATTGAGTTGATCTATTGAACATGAGTCTTGGAGTATAACCACCACCAACATTTCATCTTCGATAAAATCCAAAAAGTTAATTAAGAAGAATGAATCATTTACATAATATAATTTTATTTTACAACAACAACAAATATTTTGTATGATATAAATGTTTTTAATGATTTTTTTTAATAAGTCTTGGAGGGCTATCCTAATAATTTATGGAGTAAAAACTAATTAGTAAATGTTTTTTTACTGTCTACTAGCATATAATGTATAAAACAAATAAAAGTAAAAAATAGTATGGTATAAAAAAAACAAACTAGTTTTGATCAATAATATGAAAAATGTATTTTCTTTTTTATTTAATTACTTTTATATTAATAATTCATTTTTATCCTCGATTTATCGTAAACTGATGCGTTTATTAGGCCATTAACATGTGGGTCGTTGGACTCCAATAGAGAGAAAAACAAGACAAATACAACATAGACTCAGAATGGGCTTTGTAGTTGGGTTTGTACACAAGTCATTTTTATTCTTTTTGTACCACATCTCCATACCAACACCTTCACCTCCTATTTCCTATACCTCCTATGCTTTCACTCAAATATCATTTTCATCTTAAGATTATAACTTTGTTAGTAATCTATACTTTGAATCGTATATCATATTATGCATACAAATATTCCCTGAAAAAATTGCATACATTTATTTGACTTGTTCTGAATTATTGAATCCATATATATTTTTGAAAAACATAATCCATAGATGATTTTCAAATAGGCTAATCCCAAAATTAGTGATGAATTGTATTTTCTAAAAATATATTCTGAAATTTTTTGAAAATCTTATGGAAAGATCACTCGAAAAAAGTTTTGGGATGAGAAAATCTATATATTAATTAAAAGATAATATTTTTATTTTAGATAAATATGGGATTAAAAAAAAAACATGGAAGTGTAGAAAGAAACCTCCTTTTTCTAAATTTTGTTTTGTGAAATGGTTGCTTTTCTTGACATTAAGTCAATGTCATTTTTGTGCAATATTAACTTGTTTAGTTCATCCCAAGGGAACATCCCATTTTTAATGAACCAAAAACACTGAATTTTGAGTTCCAAATTTTGTACCTGATAAATACTTCACTAATTTTTCAAAATCCTTCCTCTATACTTGGCAATCTCTACATATTGGTACGATCTATCTTTTCTGTATTTAAAAAAAAATTGATAACCTGCAAAAATAATTAACATTTACGTTATATAAAAGATGGTCACATAAAAATATTTAACATTTACGTGACAAAAATCTGAAAAAAAAAAAAAACATAGCAACCATAATAAAACGCATTATTTGATTTGTTGAAATCATAAACCCTATTGTTAGTTGTTGTCTAAGAAAGAAGTAGAAGGAAAAATAAAAATCAACTCCTTAATCATTATGTACCTAATTGATCAATCTAAGCTACATAAATTGTGGAGCAATATCAAATCAAATTGAAAGTGACCCAGAAACCAGTGTAATTAATTTAGAAAAATCTTCTCAAAAGTTAGGCCGATGCTACTATCCACTCACGTCAATTAAGTTTGAAAAACGCATTATCAAAGTATCACTAGAGGACCAAAGAATCATGTAACGGATGATACATTAATGTATGTATTGATGTATGTTAAATTATTTATAAAAAAAATGACTGTTAATTTATCTGCAAACTTCTACCACAAGTTTGATAAAGTAAATGAAAAAGTGAGTTTGATTGATTTGATGGAAAGAAAGCATGAGAGGAATATTAACATTCATACCATGGATTTAGAGACATTAAACCGAAACAAAGGGCAAAGAGGACGCGGTTTTGACTATAGTGATGAGATGCTTTAGGATTGAAAAAACAAAATAAAAATAAAAATGAAAGATTTTGTAGGAACTAGGAATAGAGAATGAGGAATACTCTACGTCTACGTATCTTAGGGATTTTGTTGTCTTCCTAAATGCACTACACCACTAGCTAGCTACCATAATCGGGTATAGAATATGGTGCACTTCACTAACATTTCAAATGGGTCCCACTGTAAACTTGTTGAACATTTCTCAAAGTTCCACTTTGTGTCACAACTCATCACCCAAAAGCAACAAAATCGATGCTCTTTACCATAATACTTTATGCTTTTTCACCACCTATTTTTCCTAAACTTGTTGTTGCCCACTTGTTCCATGTTCAACACTTCCTCTTCTAGTGTAAATCCATTTTACTGCACTACTTCCAAATTGTTCATTCATTACGTGGATGTGAATTTGTGATTAAGGTGTAACCCAACTACCATCTATTATTGCACCTTTTAACTAGCAACTGGTTTGTGTGCAGTCTATACACGTAAACAATGTCAATTAGTCACACAATAGAAAGCTTTTTCATGCCTCAAAATATGTATTGCTTTAAACAAATAGTTTCAGACATTGTTCGGTTTTTAAATGAAAAGTAAGAGAAATTAGTTATTGCACCACTATTTAACATCTATGTAAAGTTTGTTATCTTACGTACGTGGCGGAAGTAAAATATTACTCCACAAACAAAAACATTGTATATATAAACTAGTATGGTATGGCATAATAAAATGCTTATGCTTCTTTTTAAGTAATTAATCAATGAAATATATATATTTAAGTAAATGTTGAAGTGGTATTGTTTTTTAATATTTGTTGTTTCTTTATAGTATATATAGCTTACAGAAGCGAGAATTATATAAACTGTTGCGTTTTTATTATTATTTATAATAGTTAGAATGCAATATGAATTCTAATAAAGTGTTATTATATAAAGGACAAAAACGATGTGTTAAAAAGAGTGGAAATATCTAAACCTATATATATGATAAGTTATTAACAGTGGAAAAATATGTTATTGTATATATGAGTTGTAGAATTAAAATATTATCTTTAAATTATTATATTTGAAAAAAATAAAGATGTTGCAAAATATGTGATTCAATAATGTTAAAAAAATATATAATAACAATTTATAACTATGGTTAAAACTTATAAAACTAACAATAATTTTAATTCATGAGTTATTAATACGATAATAATTATAAATTAAATATTATTTTTGTTAATCGGTTTCACTATTAAACATAACATTAAAGTCAATTAAAATGTTCCACACGTGAATGAGATCTTTGTAGGAGTTGAAGAAAGAGTGAGGATCTTTTAAAATTTTGTAACTTACAGATATATAATGCTCTTCTAAATTCGATCATTAATTTACTTAAGTTTATATTTATAATTTTGCTGTCTTTCACCTTTTCATTTTTTTTCTTTTATTTATTTACTATGTACTAATCATATATTATTTGATCTAAAAATTATCAACAAAGATCTATAATAATAAAACACGAAAGGTTAATCCTCAAAAAACAAAAAAAAAAGATAAGCAAAATAAATAAATAAATGAAACATATTGTCTAAATAAATTATATTAAAAAATAAATTAACTTTTAAAAAATATTATTGTATCTATTTTAATGATATTTATATATAGTATTGTTAAAATATATTATTTTTTATCTATTTCATACTAATATAATAAAAAACAAATATTGTTCGATTAAATAGTTTATTTATATATAAACATTTTAGTCGAATAATATATATATATGATTGAAAGTAGTGAAAAAATCCCCCATCGATATTGGTGTTAGTCCAAATGAAGTTAATTTCTCAAATTGAATAAACATGAGCACATAATATCTTGTGAAGACCAACTTATAATTATGGTTTACGATTCAATCTTTGGCCAACATTAACCATTTTCTGGAAAGTACATGCTCACCATCTCCCATCTATAACAAAACTCAATTAAATAAGCTTCCTTCACTTTATTTTCCTGTTAAACATAGTCACTTAAATATCAAATTTTGAGTTATTATTTTCATTTTATGTTTAGATTTATATGAATGATAAAAAAATATACTAACATATTGCAATTTTTAAATTATAAAAAATAAAAAAAATAAAAAGTAAGTGTAATGAAATTATAATTTTTAAACCAAATGGCTAGTTCCAAAAAAGGCTGATCTGGGTACAAAAACTCAAACTCTTTTTTCGTGTTTGTTCGTATGAGTTAAGGGGAAGTCATTGGTGTGCGAATTTGATAACAAAATCAGTAAATAGAAAGAAAGTTATTGGAATTAGGGAATGGAAAGAATTAAACTTATTAGAGAAACTATTAGAAGTGGTTGAGGGAAGAAGCTAAACGAATTTGTCACAACATGTAATAAGCAATAATGAATGTAAAAAAAAAATAAAAACATGATATTGAATTAAAGTTGCATGATCATTAAAAGGGAAAAATGTAAATCCATTATCTGCTTTTGTCTTTTCTTGAC